GTTTGCTGAACTTAGTTGTCGTTTAAAATTTAGTTCATTATAATGAATATTTAAATGCTTGATAAAAGTACATTTCTATGCAGAAGGCTCAATTTAGACTGTTCTGGAAGCTAAAATAAATTGGCTATTTTATTGCTTGCTTTATAAAATGCTAAAATTATTATTAAGAAGGTTAATCTTAAATGTATTTTTCCAGATTAAGGCATATATAGTCAAATTGAAAAAACGATTAAAAATATCTAGTCTTATAGTGCTACTACATCACCTAATATGGCTGCCATAGTTAAATGTCATCTCTGAACACTTTGGTGTGGCTAGTCTGAATTAGGATGAGGGTAGATTTTGTCAGTTTTTTTTTTCAGTGATTTGACGAGATTATGGTAGCACCTGGTTTACAAAATACACACACAAAAGTACTGCCACAGGACACTAGGACATGAAGATCAACCTTTCCCTCACACATTAACACTTGAGACAAACAATAGAGTCCTCAACAATAGAGTCCTTGGAGAGAGAAATGGGGGGTAAGAGAGATCACCACCAGTGTGAGGTAAACTAGTTCTCACTCTTCAGGGGTACTGATTATTTTAATGTATTTACTTATTGGTACTAATTATTTTAAAGTCTCCCTGCCTTAATAGTGTTTTATTGAAGGAATTACTTTAAGATTTTGTTTTTGATATTGTCTTCTAAGTTACAAATGAAATCACTCCTTGGAAATTGGAACAAGACTTCATCTACTTGATGCTTAAGGTTCAAGCACAAACATAATATCACTTTTTAGTAGAGTAGATGAAGTTTTCCATTTTAGTAACAGAATTGTAGAAATATGAAAGTGTGAAGTTTATCTTATAAACACTCTTAATAGAAAATTTTGTTTCTGCCTACACAAATGAATTCTCCTTGAGTATTTTCCCGTATAGATAAATAAACTTGAAAGTACTTATTTGTACTATGAATTTTATAGAAGAGTAATTTCAGTTGGCTAATATTAAGAAGAAGAGGTAAAAGTCAAGTTCAAGGCACATAGGGAGAATAGAGTTTCTAAAGAGCTGCTGCTTCCACAGTTTATTGACCAGGAATTGTATTATTTATAAAATGTTCATGGTGGTGGTGGCACACGCCTTTAAGCTTGGGAGGCAGAAGCAGGCAGGTCTCTATGAGTTCAAGGCCAGCCTGGTCTACAGAGTTAGTTCCAGGACAGCCAGGACTGTTACACAGAGAAACTCTGTCTTGAAAAACAAAATAAAACATGAAACAAATAAACAAAAAGTTCATGGTTCACACTAACTTAAGTTTGTTTGTTTGTTTTGTGTGTGTGTTAGGATAGGTGGATTCTCTACACTGACCCGTGGAACTCTCCCCTGAGGTCTGTAGCTGCGGCTCTTCAGTCCTCACTCCCGTTGTCCTCAATAGTGTCACTGAACTCTGGGGCCCGTCAGCTCTCATTTGTGGGTCTTTGCAACTGCTCCCTGGATGCCTTCTCTCTGCTGCATCACCTTGCTTAACTCTTGCTTACCTACCCTTTCCTGCCCTGGATCTGCTCTTTCATTTTTCCCTCCATGAAGTCATCTCGCTCTGCGTTCGTACAACTTTCCCAATTACATTTTCTGCATTGCACTTTCTCTAGAAAGTGCCACATCATCTAGTTTTCATGTGTTTGTGTAACTTATTGTTCTAATGTCTGGCCTCAAAATATCTTACACCACTCCAAAAGCCATTCCTTTGTTTCCTTGAATAGGAGAGACTTCATCGTATTTCCACAATTTGATGTACAACGCCCCCCAGACCAAACATAACAAAACAGTTTCTCTTACTTAAGTTACTAGGAAATTATTTACTTTATTGTGCTTCCATAAAATTCAGAAATCATGTAAACAAACTGTGTTGTGAATTAACTGGTAGAGCATCTATTTCTGAGTGGGTTAAGGAATTGCCAAGAGTGATTAAGTCTGCTCTCTCTCTTTCTGGCTCTGAATGGAGTGTTGACAGCCAACGAAGAGCGTCTTCAATAAATCCATTCTCATGTTCAAGTTTTTCCAGATGTGAGAAATAATTAAGTCTTTGCATTTATTGGAGCCTTTTATGCTTTTCAGGCAGAAACTGGCAGCTGTGATGGATTAACTCTGCTGGAGTGTGTATTTATTGTTTGGGGTATGTGTGAATGTACATACATGTATGCCTGCATACATGTAGCACTTGCCAATAGTAAAACAAAGTCGGACTTGAAAATAAAACAAAATGAGAGTCTGGTTACAATACATACTAAGCATTTTCGTAGCTGCCCTTCATAATCACGAACACTGTCTCTAATGAGTCCCTTTTTCTTTATTTTTTTGCTAAATGTTGAAGAAATGAGGATAAAAGATCCATAACTGTTAAGTGACATACTGTTAAAAAATATGTGATTCTCATAAAACACAAAATGAGCACGTTTCAAATATTTTAATGTATTAATAAATGAGGGGACTAATAAGATGGTACAACTGGTTCAGAGGTGGACTTGTGGAACCATAGATACATAAATAATAAGGAATGCTGAAATGAATTTATAAATAGATGTGAAGCCAATAATCAATTGTGTTTTCTAAGCCAATTTGCATTTCAGTAGATAAGGATCCTTTGTATTGTTATCAATTTCTAATAGCTTGCAAAATGACAAAATAGCTTAAAGACAGTGAAAGGACAATATAGTTACAAAGAAGCACTAGATAAGATACTCACATTTTTTAATGTCACTGTCAAAATCTTTCACAATTATTCCTGCTACATTCCACATAGAAGTCTAGGAAAGGGATACATACATACATACATACATACTTACATACATACATATACACACATATATACAGTCACAAATCCATATACACATACATATCTATATCTCCTTTTTTGTGTGGAGATAAAACTGTTAGATCTTGCCTAACTCTACCGGTTAAAAGCCGTACTCAGTTCAAACCTTGGCCTCTTTTGTTGAAGACTGTGCGACAGTGAGGACCCAACTACCAAATGAGGTTTAGAGGGTTTTACCCCTTAATAGTGAGAAAGAAGTGAGTCATGCAGGCAGTTTTAGGGGAGATCAATGGACTCAGACAGAGTTTGTTAGGCTTTGAGTGTTTCGTTTCTTCTTCTTTGGCTGATGAAATAACATGGCGGAAGCCAACTGTGTTCCCTTTTGCTAGAGCCAATCTTTGTGTAAATAAAGGCTTTTCAAAGAAACATCTCTTCTAACTTCTGCTGATCCCCTAGTGCCTGTAAACTCAAATATCCTGTGGTCTGAGGTGCCATATTTTAAGGTGTCTTCAATCTCAACTCAGAACTGAACTGTAATTTATTGTAATACTTTATTAGAGATTTGCATATGTAAGTCAATTTTCTCCATGCTGGAGAAAAGCAAAGAACACATTCTGATATGAAAAACAGAAAGGAGAACTGAATGGAGTAAGTGTGGAACTTCTGTCAATAAACAAGACCTTTGTTGCATGTGACCTTGGGGATACCTAAGATAGGGAGGCACTGTGTGACTCACTCAGTAGGGTGGTACAGATGCACTTCTTTGGCCAGGGACTGTGTCCCTTTACATTGTCATTACTTACTTGTCAATACTCATATGTAAACATCAAACTATTAAAAGTTCAAGAAACATCAGAATTATAATTATTCAAGTCAGCTCTTATCTTCCCCCTGTCAGGCCCTGGGGATGCCCTTCTTTATCCTTTGAAAGGATAAGAGCCTTTTATAACTGTGCTTTTCTTATAACTATGACCCTTAACAGAGTAGTTGGGAGTTCAAGAGATTTCCTTTTATTAAAGTGTCGTCTTAATTTATGCCAAATTGGAGGCAGGGAAGGATTAAAGGATTTGCTGTAGAAGGCATGGTTGAGCCAGATTTGGAATTCCATGGTTTCAGCACAAGGAATGTGATCTCCCATGTTGGTCTCATTCTGTATCACTTCATGGAGAGAGGACCAAAGTTGAAATGTAGACAATGTAAATAAAGAGAATAAAAGTAGACAGGGGATTAGCAACTGTAGAGATATTCCCTTTGGGGGTACCCAGGGTGAAAGTGTGTATTAGTATACAACATTAAATTAGGTTTTAAAGGGGGGGAAAGGATAGGTATTTTTGAAACATAATCACTACCCATACAAAGAATACTTTTTTTTAAATACAGATTTTAGCCCTATTGGCAGGAAAGCTTGGCTATGATAAAAATCAGGGCTTAATATTTTTAGAGGAAACGTGACATGCATTTTATATTATACTCATATGTGAAGGAAAAGAAGATGTATTAAATCAAAAGTCATGGTGTATGTGGCTTGCCAGAAAGTCCATTAAAGAGTTGACTCGGTAGGTTTTGAATTTTTTAATTTCCTTCCAGGGCATGTTTTATTCACCACTGCATCTCCCTCACCAGGTGCAGAGCCAGCACAACAGCATCAGTGTGCAGTAAGCAGGGCTCCAGGCAGGTTTCGGTCCTGTGTCCATCGCACTGCTCATTACATCACGTTGCAAACGAGGCAGGCAGATCGTTCGTTGTTCTTGGCCTTAAGTTTGCCCTCTGTGAAGGAGAGCACACTAAGTGGGGGTTTATGTTGGTTTTCAGCACTGGGGTCCAATTGGGGGCCTTACACAGCCTGCACCTATGTGTAGAAACCAAGCAAACTTGGTAATAACCCAGGTTTGTTCTTAGCCATCTTTTTACTTTTTGTGTTTACTTTAAGACAAGGTCTCACTAAATTGCCCAGATTGGCTTGAAGATCATACTGTAGCTCAGGCTGACCTTGAACTTGTGCTTCTTTTGCTCCCACCTACGAAAATAGCCGGGGATACAAGCTTTTGTGATTAAACTTAGCCCCTAAAGACTTACTAAGGACCCTGGTGATTGTAAAATTCTGATTTCAACCTCCCCCCCCCCCAAAAAAAGGGTCCATATTGTGTGTGGTGGTTGGTTGTGTTTTTGAAACTTCTGTGCATTAAGGTTTGATTATCTTCTTTCAGCCCAGTAAAAAGCCAATAGGAACTCAGAGCATGATTGACAATGAGAAGAGACGCTGCTCAAGCCTCAGGTAGGCTGTTCACCATGGAAACAGACATCACCAAAAGCTGCACGAGCGTTGTCATCTGAAGTGGAAGCTAAGAGCTGCATCTTGGACAGCTTTGGTAGGATCTTTTTTTTTTTTTCATATATGCTTCTAGGGGTTTGCAAGAAAAGTTTATAGAAATTATTCATCCATAGAAAGTATTTCATTCTTGCAGGTAGTGCAGTAGTCTACAGAATATCAGAATAGTCTTTTTGGGGAGCACGTGAGGGAAACAATTACAGTTTACACATTCTTCTCCTTATGGACAAATGTAATGCACAAAGAATTTCTTGTAGGCTGGTCTGACATGGCTGTTATCTAAGGTTTCCCAATTTAGCATTCTGGGGACAATTTCATTTTGGCATTTTCCTGGTTAAGTGGTGTCTGCGATGCCTTTAATTTGACCTCTATCCAGAACTGTTTCATGAGAAAGCCAACAATTCTTGTAGAAGAGAGTCAGAGGTAACAATGTCCCCCTCAGTCACATTTCACAGAAGGTAGCCGATGTCATTAAGAGACAGTGGTAGGTAGAATAGATGGGATGAGATGAATCAGGCCAGATTCATGTTTGGGAAATGAGAGGTTTAGCAAACTGAGTAGGGCTTTTGATTGACGGTCATCACAGATCTCTGCATGTGTCACTGTGGCATGTGGCACTCATCCTGGCAGGTGTAGAAATTAGTTTACAGCTTTCTTGAATAGATTTGTTTTAGATCATTGTTTTTTTCTTTTATCAACCATTTTGTGGAACATTTTTTTGCTCTTTGGAAAATAATTTGAGAAATAATCTGTTGATGACGGTTGTGAAGAAAGAATGTCTTACTCATTAGAATTTTCAGTTTAGGTAAGGCTGAGGCATTTTTCTTTAAAAAAAATTGATAAATATAAGTACATAAATATATATTCACTAGTTAAGTGTAAAATGTAAAGTGAAGCTCCATAGTTTCAGAATGACTGCTCTATCTCAACAGACATTCAGTGAGATATAGAGACATTAGAAATGGTTAATTTCAGGGATTTTTATTTCTTTTATTTGAAAACATTTTATAATAGTTTATTAAAACAAATTTAAAAGTAGATAAGATATCAAAAATGTATTATCCTTGGTTATTTGGAATGATGTATTTTGGATAAAGATGTATTTTTATATAATTAATTTAATTAGTCGCCATAGGGTGTTTTTCTAATACTGATTGCTGATACGCTATAATTTTTGTAACAAGCAAATTTACCCTAAAATTTAAACAGCTGGATTAATACATTGGGAGTGATAGATTTTTGGAATTGCTTAACTTGACAGCAAAGGATTTGCTGTGAGAAGTACTTCCTTAACTATATAACTAGTGAGGTATGCCCCATGACAAATACGATTGCTTAGTGTCTTAATTTTCCATGTGTGGAATACAGTGAGATTAAAAAAAAATTACTAGTGAATTCATGAAAATTCACACAATGATAAAAATGCAAAGAGGATGATTACTTTGGAAGCAATGATGTTTCTAGACATCTTAAATAAAATACCAATATATATTAACTTCAACTTTTCATGTTTAATGATGTTTACAATTAATGTGATACAGTATTCCCTAATTTGAGATTAACAGTCATAATTAACTCAGAATAGATTCTTTGAAGTGGTTCAAAGGGCTTTTTATAATAAATTATTAGCCTCTAATCAGCTAATACGAAGTGAGTAGTTTTGGGGGATGTGAGAAGTATGTTAAAATCTCATAAAACATTTAATTTAAGTTAATGAAATGACTTTGTATGGTGTAGATTCTCTCTATGGAAACAGATCCATGTCTGACATTCCAGAGAAAGCTTTATTTAGACCAAGTTGAGAAATTTTTGAGATAACAGGCTTTCGGCCACGCTTGCTATCTTGGGTGTTATAGCTGAATAGATTTCCAGACTCTTCCAGTCCTCTTTAAACCATTTTTTTAAAAATGTTTGGATGAATTGAGTTTGTGAAATATAAAAATATTTTCTGTCTTGGGTTTCTTAAGCCATCCAAAGAGTGTTGACTTTAAGTTTGTCAAATTGAGCCCAGAAGATGCGAGTCTTCACTGGGGAGGCCAGACCTGGCACACCCGGAGGATCCTTGGTGTTCCCTGACACACCATTGAGATAAGGAGGGTGACATGAGCCAGGGATAAAGTCTGGCATGCCTGTTGCTTCCAGTGCCCCAGTGACTTCGGAGCGCAAGGCTGTGGTGGTCCATTGAAAAGACACAAGTTTTAAAGCATTAATATTTTGATAGGGTAAAAATGAAGGTGCCTGTGTTAGAGGATGTAAAAGATGAAACTGAAGAGGAAAATGTGGAAGAGGAAGAAAAACAGGAAGACAAGGTGAGTGAGGAAGAACTCGATTAAGAACAGAATTTAGTCCTGTAACAGACAAGGAAAAAATGGCCTCTTTTTATTTTCATAGGTATTTCTTAAACCTGTTATTGAAGACCTAAGCATGGAACTGGCCAGAAAGTGCACTGGACTCATTAGTGATGTAAGTGGCTTTAAAGAGTTTTGTCTTTTACTTGCTTTGTTCACCTGGGATGACTGTGGTGCAGAGTCCTGGGGCTGGAGGAGAAAGGCCATCTGTTAGAGCACGTTCATTTTCTAGATCACAGAACTAAATCCAGACATGTTCGGTGATTTCCCCAAGGTCATATGGGCAGAAAACTTCTGCTGGGGCAATTGTCCTCATTCCTAATCCAGGTCCTGTCTCATCCAAGTTGTGCAATTACCCTGAATTGCATGGTGCTGAAGGCTCAAGCTCATTTTGTTTGAGAACTCCCAAGACTTTAAAAGTAGCAGAATTTGTCTTGGAAGGACCTCTGTCTAAGCAAATGATTTTCAGTATGGAAGACCTTCTTCTAAATGAACAGTGCTTAATTTTCTGAGGGTCCTTTGAAGTTTCTGTCAAATGCAGTATTTTTTCCAAACCATGAAAATGCATGTACCTTTAATTGCACCTGGCATTTCTTTGCAATAGTGTGTGTGTGTGTGTGTGTGTGTGTGTGTGTGTGTGTGTGTGTGTGTATTAATGGAACTGTACATTAAAAACCCTGGTTCACATGATAATATCATTGAGAAGGAACATTTTTGTTGTTATTTTTGTTTTTAGGAACTGAAGCTAGTTTATATTGTATTTCAAGGATATCCTAGAGTTATTTAATTTAAGCGTGTACACATACATGATAAGTATATAAATAGAATTTTAGATGCATAAGGAAGAATATTTCTCACAAGGGATGAGAACCCACCACATCCTCATAAATAATATAAGAGAACTGCTGGCATAAAAAACATGGAGTTGTCTGAAAGGAAGTGTGTTTGTGCCTGCATTCTGGAGCGAGTGCAAAACTGCCTGCACTTGTTGTTTTTATGATGCAAAGTTTGTTTCCCAGGCAGTAGGGTGGTTTATTGGCCACTTCTCCAAGGCTAATTTGCCTGAGTCAACTCAACAATAACCTTGGAAATGCTATTGATGTTGGTGGGTTTAGCTCTTCAAGTGTCATGTTTATAATTCTAAGATGAAATGTACGTTGAAAATGTTGCATCTATCTTTCACAATACTGTGATGACTGGGTAAATGCTAGCTAGCCACTGGATAAACTCTAAGCCACTCCATCTGTCACTTTTATATCTATTTGATAAAAAGGTGGTAGTCAATGGAAACGCACACACTTCTTCCCATATTCCTGACATGCTGTGATGTGGTTAAATTTTAGGTTAACATTTATTTGTGTTATTGATTACTAATGACCATATATTTCTTAACGTTTGTGAAAATTCTTTGTAAACTGCAATAATAAGAAAGTGACAATGACAGCAATGACCGTGACACCAGTGGCAGTTAAGATTTATTGAGTACTATGTGCTAGGTGTTGTACCCTGTGAGGTTGGGTCTCCTATTTCCCCCATTTTAGAAGCCAGGAGACGGAGGCACACAGAGGTAAAAACAGGGAGGTGAGCACAAAGTCCTTTCTCTTTGCTCTGTTACTTCTCATAGTAACATCCACGTAAAGCTTATTACTATCTCCCAGACTAACATTAGTAACAGCAATGCCATCATTTAAAACCCAGCTCTGGAGACAGTGCCCCTTCCTTTGGTATGTTTTTATTAAGTATAATTATTGCTGGGCTGTAGCTCTAATTAGGTAGGTGATTTATTGGAGTGTTTTGGGGAGGATTGCTTACTGGTGACGTCAGAACCTTCCTGTAGGGAGGCACAAGGCCTTTTTACTACTTTGTGAATGAAAACGTCATGCCGTTTTTCTCCCTTTAGGTGAAATCAAACACATGGGAGAAATTTCTGTTTATTATAGATTTATGTTTCATGGCAAAATGTCTGTACTGCTTAAATATTTAGAACATGATTATTGTCCCTTGATTTATGCCTGGATACGTGCTCACATTTTATTTCATCACAGAATTCTCTACTTCCTAAGATACTCATTTAGTTTCTAGAATTTTTACATGGATCAATAAAGATTCTGAAAAATTATACTAACTTCTAAAATAAAAATTAAAGGAAGGGTTTACCCAACCATTTTAAGACCAAATGCTAGGGCTAAGGCTACTGTTGAGTACCAGTGTGTCTGTCTAGTACCCTCAACTGAAAAATAGGTAAATAAAAAAGCAAACAAACAAATACCAAGCTACAGCAAATGTCTATGTTCCTAGAAGTTCTAGTTAAGTATCACTAAGTAAAAGTTAATTGCTCTTATTTAGTGACATCAGTATTTTTGTGGGTGAAGAAATGACCTTATATTTGAAATTCCTTTTTTTTCAAATCAATACAATTTCTAAATTTGAAAATTTCATCTCCTCTATATAGTTGCGTAGCCAATTGCCAACCGGTTGTCTAAAATGTATCAGCCACAGAGTTAAAATTTTATATATATATGGCTATGTTTTATCACACTGTATTAGGCTTGAGCATGTATTGTATGGCAATTATGTAGGACTAGATTAGTGCCCCACATTTAACCTAGGGCACTCTCCAGCCATCATGCCAAACTAAGTAAGACTCTTTAAAATATTTGGTGGGGTTTTACAGCCCATCCCGTCCCGGAGGGGCATCTGTGTGTCCTTGCTGCTTTCTGTTTTTTGAGGGCAGTTTTGTTCTGCGTGGTTACTGAGTGAGTTTGCACGATGTTTGCCGACAGAGGAGAGCCATGCACCCTGAAGTCTGAAGAAACTCTTATATGCTGGAGATCAAGTCACTCACTCAGCTGGCAAATTCCCTGGGGTTGAAACAAGATCAGTGTGACCCTCAAGCCTTGGCCACCCGGATAGCCTTCTTTCTTGCTGCATGGCATGCCACGCATTCCATACACACTTTTACATTGCACACCACAGTTAGTGTCGGTGTAGGATGCATGTGTTGTAACTCACAAGTGTGCAGCCTGGAAGGTGAGGGACTGTCACCTTCCAGGCCGCTTCATTTCCAACACGGGTGTGGAGCGGTATGGGTTTCTTTGCACGGGGTACTTTTAAATGCCCTCCATTGGTCCAGTTACTCCTCTTTGGGTCTCTGCTAGCCTCCTACATCTCCAGAGCAGTATCATAATCAGAACTGTGTCCTGCAGTCTAGCTGTGGGTTGCCTGGGACTATGAGTGAGACGACATTTGGTTTTGTTCTGGTGCTCCTCATAATGCTGTTGAGAGTTTCACAGACTTGTGGGCAGCCGTCCATTTCAGTCCTGATTTCTGACCTGTGGTTGATAGTTTGGGCCTGTTGTCTTTTATAAGACTTTGAAGGATTGTAAGCTTGTGAGAGACTGATCGAATAACCACTTCCCACATTCCTCCCTCACCCTTTGAGTGTCTGAGGCTCATCTCTAGAGCTCACCATTTCACTCTGAGGTGAGGGGGGATGGGACGGGGGAGGGTCATTGGAAGCCATGGAGACAGTGCTCTATCCAGGTGCCTCCCAGACAGTATGTAGAAATGTTAAATTAGACTGGCTTGGGGTCAGACCTGGGAGGCTGCACTGTGTGGATTCTCTACAGAGAGAAATGTCAGTTTCTTGGGTCAAGGTGTTTCTTTTGGGGATCAGTATATAAAGCATTTTTCTTTCCTGTCCCCATTGCCCACTTTTTTCCAGTTTTTCTTTTCTTCTCTTTTCCTGTCTTTCTCGTTTGGTTTCTGCTTTGCATTTGAACTGCCCACATCATGGAGTTTCCTCAGCACAACTCACACCCATGCCCTGAAAGACACCTAGCCTCCCAGCAGCCTCTTAGTTCTCCTTTTAAGTGCGGAACACTTCTTGTTTCCCTAACTAAACTCTCTGGTAGTTGATCTTGCTTGTCAAACACCTCATCAATTCCTCATATCAATTAGACATGTCCACTAGACTGAGCATCCGGAATCGTGTTCTAGCCACCTTCTGACAGGTAGGCATAAAAAATACTGGGCAAAAAGGAATCTTTGGTAGGTTTTATATAAGTGAGGCAGAACAAGCCTCATGTAGAACAAATTAGGCTCCATCTGTGTGCATCCTGATTTAATTAATATTAATTCAAAGCTTGCAGGGTGTTCACCTGCATGGGAATGGGGACAATTTTTTCAGGCAAATGAAGTTGTTTGCTGTGGACAAATCCTCCCAATGATGAAAACATTAAATTCCCTGACTACTCTTCCAGAAAAAGGCCAGAGCGTATTAGAAAACCTGGGAGAGTGACCTTGGTCATGACCTGCTAGTTCACAAGCTGTGATCAAACGGCAGTTCTTTCTCTCAAGGCTTACATTCAACAGATGTAATTTCATTTGTGCAAAGACTTTCTAGATAAGCATGCACGTAAGAAGAAATATCCACAAACATTTCCACATCTGTCATCCACTTTGAGCCGTTAGCTAATCTTGTACTCATCGAAAGAGCCGTGGACAGGAACAGGAAGCAACTGTGCACTAATTTCCCTCTAATTTTAGAGGCAGCGTTGTGAGATTAGTGGGAAAAGCCAAGGGGTAAAGTAAATGTTTGGAACATCGTATTGACCACGAAACTGCCAACTTTGCTCTACTTTTGCCTTTAATTTGAAGATACGTTGGATTGCGTGTTTTCTCTGAGACGGGGTTGCGAGTGACAGCAAGACCCTAGCGCAGGGGAGGTGGTTTCCTCTCCATATATAAAGTCTGACGCAGGTGGGTCCATCTCTACACAGCAGCCATTTCCATTCTCCCTGCTTCCTTGTCTTCTGCCCTGTCTCTGTCACTGTCCCGGCTTATCACCTCATGACATCATTGCTGCTGCCCCTCGTGACTGGGGAAGAAGAGATAGCAGCATGCCATGTCAGAGGACTGTGCAGAGCTTCTCCTGTCAGCCCAGAATGTTAGAAGCTCGGCTGGGAAGGTTGCACTGAGTCTCTTCTGGTGGGCCCATTGTCTCTTTGTTCCTACCTACTCCTCCCTGGCGGATCAGGGGCCAGAGAAAAGGGTACAACCCTGCCTGCTTTAGACCGCTGGGATTGAAGCTGAGTCCCATTCAGGTTTGTGTGCTAGGCATGAAGGGATCGTTGGGAATCTCACCAATAGATAGAGCCAGTCTTAGATTATATAACATGTAGACAAGGTTATAAATAGCCATCTCTTTGGAGATCTATGAAACTTTGAATGGTTGACTGATGTTGTTCTCATCCATTTATCATTTCCTATGCCACTAGCATAGGAATACTACATACATGTAATAGAGTTAATTGTGTAAAAGCTTATGAATATTTGCTTATTATTATGCATACTGTGGAATTCATTAGGAATTGTATACAAACTCATTGGAAATCATACACACAAACTCATTAGAAACTCAGAACCAATCATGGTATTTGTGTGTGTTTGTGTATGTGTCTCTGTGTGTGTGTGTGTGTGTGTGTGTGTGTGTGATTTTTAACACATTTTATAAGATGAATAGCCATAATCAAATTACCTTAAGTTTTAAAATACAACTTAAATTTAAAGATGCAAATGCATCGAACTTTTTAATAAAGATCAAAGAAGGCCATTGAGTCCCACAGCCAAGGCTGAAATATTTGCCTGCAGAACAAAGGAAGTAAATACTTCACCCTTATCCCCAGCTCCTGTCCTCAGCATTTAGCCCGCCAGGCACTATCAGAAGGTCTCTAGCCATAAGCACATACCACTGTGGTGAAGAATGTGATCCTGATGGGAAAGATGGTGGCAGAAGATAAAAATAATGAGCCAAACTTAAGCCTAATGATAGGCTATTTTTTTCTCACACTTAATTATATAACAGGGATACTTTTTCCCCCTATGATCAAACTAGCCTGGTATTTATCATCCTGCCATTAACGATTTAATTACTAGTGACTGAGGAGAGAGATTTGCAGGAACCTTAAATTATGGCTAATCTTTGAGAAGAAAAAATGTAATTTAGTGCTCAGATAAGATAAATATGTTCTCCTGTTGATTTCATGAATAAAGCAAGTGTTTAATATGGTAGGCATTAATATCTATGAGACACAGCAGTGAAATATAGAATTTTGAAATTACTTACTATAGCTGTGTCTGTTTACACCTCAGGTCAGGTTAGGCCCCTCAAATCAGATTTGCATATGGGAAAATCTCCATGGAATGTTAGTCCATTACATCAATATTAATCATGCTCTCTTAAGAGCTGGGTAGTGGGTACAAGTAAACATCACATTTGAATTATAATTAGGAAGACCATATAATTTATCATGTGAATTGAGACATTTTTTCCAGCTTACGTATTTATAGTCTTGTGTAGATAAACATGACTTTATTACAGAAAGATATAAATTTCAGCAGCTTGCTTCTCTTCTCTGAAATCTACCCTACCCAATTTTCAGATTGTCCAGCAGTTAACATGACAGGAAGACACTGTTGACCCTTCTCCATATTTCTTGATACATTTTGAGCTCACGTATCATGTGGAATCTACCCACCATGGGAGAACAATTCTGACTTCTCCCCAAGTAGCATCAAGTGATTTCATTTTACCAGAGAACTTGAGAAAACTGAGCGTGCTCAGCTAAGTCCCCAGAAGGCTTTCTCTGCTGGATCTGCCCACTCATAGCATAGTGGTATTCTGGGATGATCTGTACCACCTGGAAAACATTCTGGTCAGGGGTGGATGGGAGGGAGGTAATGGGTGCTGATAAACTGGGGAAATTGGATTTGAGGGACTTAATTAGTATTAGGCCTGTTCTGGCCACAGTTCAAACGCCTTCTCTGCTCCAGCCTGTAAAGGTAATGCCTATTTGTTTAGTTTCTGAGCCACATCTCGATAGTTCCATCTTTCTGAGGATTTCTTGTTTCCTACCTTGAGGTAGGCAGCTGTCTCAAGCCACAGACTGCGTAACTAATATACCCAGGTTTGATCTGTGTGTGCTCAAGTGCATGCGTGCGTGTGTATGTGTGTGTGTGTGTGTGTGTGTGTGTGTGTGTGTGTGTGTGTGAGAGAGAGAGAGAGAGAGAGAGAGAGAGAGAGAGAATGTGAAATATGTGGATGATATATATTTGTGCACATTTGTGTGAGTGAGTGTGAGCAGATGTGTGCCACTGCATGTGTGTAGAAGTCAGAGGACAACCTTGACTATAGGTCATTCCATGTTGTTTTTAGAAAGGGTGTCCCCTTAACCCACCCCCTGGCCCATGAGCTCCTGGGGATTCTCTTCTCTCAGTCTTCCATCTCCTTGTAGGAATTACAGGTGCTTGAGCTACTTATCTGGCTTTTATAGATTCTGGAGACTTGAGTTCTGGTCCCCAGGCTTGTAGAACAAGGCCCTTCACCCACTGAGCCATTTCCCTAAGCCCCCAGCATTGAGCCTTAATGGTGACGGATGCTTGCATATTGAAAGCACGGTTTTCCCTCACAGTGTCTCATAGCCTGTGCAGCCCTGGACCAGATATCTTAATTTAGCTGTTTTGAGGAGGATCCTGTATTTCAGTCTTTACTTCATCAAATGGACTTTCTGTTAAAAAAAAATCCAGTTGTTTTTTTTCCTTGTATTTATGATTTTCACTTTCAGATCCATTATAAAGAAGAGTATAAAAAGTCCAAGGACAAATGCACATCTGTGACTGACACTCCCACGCTAAACCATGTAAAAAACATCGGTGCTTTTATTTCTGAGGTAAGGTCTGAAAAGTTGTCAAATGGACCATGGTTTTCTTTCTTGAGTTTACATGGATAAAAATGTACAGTAATTGGAGAATAGTTTTGAAAGAAACACTGGATATTGCTCATATCTAAATTATTTAACTCTCCGAACCAAGTTAATATGTGTAAATTGATTTTATTCTATTTCACTGGTGTATGTTGTTATACTGTATATGTGTATTTTGATTGTAGTTATCCTTTAGGTAGAATTACTCTTGAAAATAGATATTTTTATCTAGGTAGGAGAAAATTCTGGCAGCATAGTTCATTTTAGAAGTTTCAAGTTCTTCATTTCCTAATGGACATATTTTGAAGGTAGATAATTGAATACCAAATTGGAAATAAGTACATTTTGTTGGCTAAGTTCATCAAGCATGCCATTTTTGATAAATAATTTTAAATGGACTCAGCTGGAGAGAGGCAGTGATTAGGAGGCAGAGTGAAGGAAACAGTCTGCTTCTGGGTGAAAAGCCACAGAGCCTCTCCTGCGAGCATTCAGTTCCAAGGTGCACAGCAGATCCTGAAGCACCATGTCATAATCTCTATGTTGAGGATTTGCATCAGTCTGTGAATGAACTTGAAAAAACAAAGGAATAGAGCAGCCTTGTAAGTGACTGACCTCTAGTGTTTTCTAAGTTGTGTTGGAAAGAGATAAATGTGATACGCTCAGGATTATCTAGTAATGTGGAACAATTTTGAGAAAACCAGTCCATTTTCTGTTATTATTACCAGCATCTTTAGCTGTGGGGACAAAAGGCTTATGAAGGGTATGCTCCATCAATCAACACCCAAATCAGCTGTGAGTGGGGAGGGTTACCGAGATCTCATCCACAGAGCATGAAGAAACGTGATTTTTTTTCTTGTATTAGCTACATTATTCATCCTGTATAGGGAAATTCTTGGTGTTCTCAATTTGTGCTTGATTAATTTTCCTTAAGGAGCTAACTGCAGAGCAAAAATTACAAGTGGTGACCTATTGTCCTCCCTAAAACCTAATTTTCCCAAGAGGAAATGGTGACTGAGTGTTTGTCTTTTCAAGTAATGATAGAGCTTGTTCATACTCAGTGCAGGTTGAAGACACACACACACACACACACACACACACACACACACACACATACACACACACATTCACGCACAAACATAGACATACAGTCACACAGAACTGCACACAGACACAGAGACATACACATGCAGACACACACATACAAACACACACACACAAACATAGAGACACAATCATACAAAATGCACACAGACACACAGAGACATACACATGCAGACACACACACACAAACATAGACACACAATCATACAGAAATGCACACAGACACACAGAGACATACACATGTACACACACACACACACACACACACACACACACACACACACACACACACACACACGAGTAAATGAGCCTCCACCTTCCACTGTGGCCAAAGGAAACCAAGAAGGTTTTAATTAAAGAACATCCCTTCTATTATTATTTAATTATACAAGTTTAGAGGATTTAATCTGACAATTTAATACATTTATTCAGTGTATTCTGATGAGAATCAAGTAGTTAACAATTTTTTTTAATCTCCTAAAAACCATCTTTCATTATCAGACAGATAAAAACTATACATCCTTCTGGGCTGAGTGTGATGTTTCAGTAACACACATAATAGGTCCTGAGCAAATCAGGGAAATTAATGTTTCTTTCTCCTTGTCCTTATTTTGTGTCTGCAGCCTTTGGCTCCCCTCTTTAGTTTTTCACAAAATAAATACTAAACTGTTGTGAACTACGGCCACCCCACAGTTCTGTAGGACACAGGAACATATTTATTGTACCCAATTGTCTGAGTTCCTGTTATCCGACATCACAGCCCTCCTGGTGTCTAGTCATCATTATTGTTTGCCTTTAGGTCCCAGACAGTAAATCTAATGACTTGGATTTTGTGCCTAGAAGGTCTTATTGTCCTCCGACCATTTGTTCACTGGCCAAACACATGAAACTCAACACACAGACTTCAGAAATGCACAGATCAAAACAGAAACTGCCTCATGTCCTTCCACATCACATTTAAAGCTCCCCCACAATACACTGGATTTATTTCTATCTATGCCTATCAGATTTATTGCCATACATTTAAATAGCCTGCAGGTTTTTAAACTAATCACGTTTCTAAAACAAGCTTTCTTTTATATTCACAATAGAAAAAAATCAAACAGAATGCTTATATTTCTTTTCTTTTTTTTCCCCTCTTAGGCAAAATACAAAGGAACCATTAAATCTGATCTTTCCAACTGTCTGTATAAGCACATGCCGGCCACCATTGACAGTGTCTTTGCAAGAGAAGTGTCCCAGCTTCAGAGTGAGGTATGACTCAAATTTGTAACCTTATGGAAGTTATTTGGTATTTTTATGAGCATTGTTTTTCTTGGTTATCACATACTAAATGGAAGGTGGAAGCAACTGGCCTATACTGCCAATTATCACAGGGGAAATGGTCGAAAATGAAGGGGACCTTCAGGTATCAGGTCTGTCGGCACCTCTTTATTTCTCCATGTCCCACTCATTGCTCTTTCAAGAGCTGATTCCAATATCATCCAGAAAGTTTCACAGGTGGAATTTTGACAGCTACTTCAAACAAGTCTCTGACTTAATGTGTGGTCCCTAAGCCAAGAACATTTCAGTAGGGTTTACAAAGTCAGGGAAACAGGTGATGCTTGGATTTGGGGCATGCGCAGGTCTATGCTCCCTCAGCTTTACCAGTGTCCTATTCTGTGGTGTGGGCTTTCTATTCAGGAGATCTACAGCCATACCTAGGGACTCCACTAGGTGAAAATAGTTAACTTAGTAGTTTCTAAGTTAAAGAAAAATGGAGTGGCTGTCATCATGAAAACTCATTATAGTCCAGGAGTGTAAGGGCGAAGGTTCCCTTAAAGGAGATTGGCAGGGAAGGCATTCTGAATGTCCTCCATCTCCTGAATTTCTTGCTACAGAATTTCAAACTAGAATATTTTGATGCTTCCTGGCTCATTGTTTTCTTTATAACACCATCTGATGACGATGATGATGGTGGTGGTTTGTAGTCTATTTTCTGTTATTTGTCCCTCTACACTTTGTGGAAGACTCTCCTATGACTCGTTTCCTGCTCTGTATTTGGAGCAGTCCCCAGCACATATGCACTATAAATTCAGTTGAATATGTTGGTTTCCTTCCTAAGGGTAAGCCCTCTTCTCATAGTTTATGCCCTTCATGTATAGTGTAAGTCTCTATAACACATATGTGCTAGCTGGGTCCGGTGATGCTCTGTGTACTTCTCACTTATCTACATTTGATCCTCCCAACAACCCCACAAAGCATCCCCATTGTAGGGTTTTAGAAACAAGCACAGAGAGGGTAAGCAGCTTTCCCAAGACCACACATCCAGTAAAAACCAGAGCCAGAACACAAACATAGCTAGCTAATCTGCCTCCAACGTCTGAGTCCTCAGGACGTGCTGCACTTCATCTCTCCTGCAATGTCTACTCTTGGCTTTCTTGTCAGTCAATATATTTCAGTTTTAGAATGCATTTTAAAATTTTGTTTTGAGACAGTCTCAAATGTAGCCCAGGCTGGCCCCTCACTCACTATGTAGCTTGAGTAGAACTTGAACCCATAATCCTCCCACACCAGCCTCGCAAGTGCTAGTATTATGAAGCCATGTGCTACATGACTTGTTTCAGCAAATTCACTTTCTTCTTTAAACTCTTTTTATTTGTAAGTAGAGGTTGCCTTGGATTTCAAATAATTCTCAAATGGATTACTCTGGAAAAATACTAAGCATAGAACATCTTTAAGTAATTCATTATTATAAATTTAAGCGTCCACTGTGTCCTCAGCTTGGCAGTGAGTCTATCTCAACTATGCAAGACTAGTCTAAAAATATATGATGGTGAGATTCTGCGTAGCTGACTGTGATGAGTATGTCCTTTACTTGCCCTGCCAACATCTGGCCACTTAGCTATTTGTCGATGACATGGGCTACTTAACAAAGCATATAATTACAACACAACATGTGTGTGGAACAAGTAACAATTATGCAAGAAAGAAAAGGAATGCATTCTTATGTTTGTGCTTGGTGAGGTGACAGTTTGGGTTATATGCTGGATAGTTTTATGCCAACTACATACAAGCTAAAGTTATCTGAGAGGAGAAAAATCTCAATTGAGAAAATGCTTCCATAAGATGGGGCTGTAAGCAAGCCCATAGGGTATTTCCTTGACTAGTGATCGATGGGGGAGGTTTCAGCTCTTTGTGGGTAGGACTATTCCTGGGCTGGTGATCCTGGGTTCTATAAGAAAGTTAGCTGAGCAAGCCATGGGGAGCAAACCAGTAAGCAGCACCCTTCTATAACCTCTGTATTAGCTTCTGCCTCCAGGTTCCTGTCCCATTTGCGTTCCTGTCCTGACTTCCTTTGATGATGAACAGTGTTTTGGAAGTATAAGACAGATAAACCCCTTTCTCCCCAAGTTGCTTTGGCCATGGTGTTTCATGTCAGCAATAGAAACCCAAACTAAGACAGGATACTTGAATTCTAATTTTTTTAAGTATGAGTTTTCTCACCTTCTTAGTAAGCTTATAGTACATCAAACCTTGCAACATAGCACTTAACATGAAAAATAATTCATAGAGGATATTTTAGAATTTGTCATGTTTTTGCTAGGATAAGTTACCATGTACATTTTTACCATGTTCTCCTATGATAGATAATATAGGGGGACCTCTATACACCATAAGTTATGAATTTATGTGATGAATTTCTGACTTGCTCTAAGAGAAAACTTCTGATTCTCCATAAGGTGTCTGTTTCAAAGGCTGACACAACTGTAATAATGTTTCTTTAGATATATAAGCATCCATCTTATTAAGATACTAATTCAATGCAAGATAAGATACTTACTTACTTACTTACTTCATAAGCATCTTATTAAGATACTAATTCAATTAGTAAGATACTTACTAATGCAAGTAAAAGGCAAGAAGCAGACTACTCTCTGCGAATGTTGGTATGTAGTTGTGATATCCCCAGACCTGAAGAGCAAATGTCTCACTGATTACTTTTATGGCCTGCTGTCTCCTAACTCAACAAACTCTTATCTGAAATCAAGTTACACATACCCTTGAACACTTAACCTCAAGATTTTCAGTTTGCCAGACTGTGCTATGAAGAAAACAAAATGCCTGCAGTAGATTTGAGTTTGGAGTCTGCTATAAGGAATTTGAGAGAAGGAGCACATTCAGAATGCCTTATATGCTGGCTCTCTTTAAGGGAGAAGTTTCTCTTACACTTCTGAAGTCAAAATGAGTTTACAGGATGCATATTTGCCACTCAGAATCACTAGAATAGCTGTTTCCACCTGGTAACCAGCTAGACATGGAAATTGAGTTAGGGTCACACTTTCTTATAGAAAGTGCTTGGTAGGAAGAAATTCAAGAAAGAGAGTCCTGTAGCAGGAATCTTAAAGAGTCTTATTAATAAAATCAAACCCAGAGCCAAGTATTGGCATGAAATGCTAGAAGATCAGAGAGACAGAACAAGCCACAGTTACCTCACCTCGCCGGATCCTCAGCTGGTCTTGTCTCCTCAGACTGGAGGCCTCTGAATCCTCATTCAGAATGGGTCTCAGCTGAACTGCTGCTCAAAAGCCTGAAAGCTTAACCAGCTAAATGCTTCTAGTTTCTGGTCCTCACGCCTTATATACCTTTCTGCTTTCTACCATCACTCCCTGGGATTAAAGGTGTGAGTCACCATGCTTGGCTATATCCTTGAACACATGGATTTCTGCCTCTGGAATACTAGGATTAAAGGCTTGTGCTACCACTGCCTATTCTAAGTATCTAGTGGCTGTTCTGTTCTCTGACCCCAGATAAGTTTATTAGGGTGCACAATATTTTGGGAAACACAATACCACCACAGAGTCCCAATGCTTATAGGAGACCATTTTATGAGTTATATAAAAATAAAGATCCCAAAGAAACCCAAGAATGGAATAGAATGTGCTGTCAAGTGATGGGATTCTTGCCTGCATGCTGTTTCCAGGCAAGGGCTGACTATTCCTGCATCATGGAAGTGATATAGGTAACTCTGGCACTGGAACTGAGCAGACTTATGAGAGTCTATGTTTGTGTCAGCAGTGGCCATAGTGCCTGCAATTCACAGTTGTCTGTTGTGTGGAACTACAGTACATTCACCTGAATGGTACTTTAAAAGTAGACTGTAAGTCAAACATAGACATATGTCGTGTGTGTGTGTGTGTGTGTGTGTGTGTGTGTGTGTGTGTGTGTGTGTGTTAGGAAAATCTACTGGAAGTAAAACTAAGCATTTACCTGTAATCCCAGCACTTAGAATAGAAATAGAAAGATCAACATTCAAGGTTATCCTGGCAATATAGTGAGCTCTAGATCAGCCTGGGATACTTAGAACCCTGATTTAAAAAAAATCTACCAAGGGATAAAATACATAAGATAAATGTAAACACTTTACCATATACACGTGTTGTGTTGACTGTGTGAGGTGACTGACCGGGCACTCTGATTTGGCTGTACAGCTCCACAGTGCTCTGAGTGTTCTCAAAGTGAGAGGAAACAGTGTGAAGTTCGGGAAGCATTACAAAATGACAGATCCTTTAAAAATTAAATTTATCAGAAAATGTATAAGCTTGGCATCATTGACATCATTTCCATTAGCTATTTAAAGGAAGAAAATTGCTATGATAAATTAAAGCTCAGCTGCCTCCAACTTGATGCAAGCTGAGTTTTAAAGTAGTGCTTAGGAGCAGCTATAAATGAAATGACTGTTTTAAAGCTGAAAGTAGGAAATTATGTAGCCTCTTTAGGAAAGAGTGCTTTTTCAAATTGTTCTGCATGAGTCACTGTTTCTATGATAACTCATAAAACGATCGGCTGCATCAGTTATGTTTATGAAGTCACAAGTGTGGTATTCCATCTAAAATGCAGAATATAGAAGTTTTTCATGGTTTTAGTGCCTTGGTCACTTGTTAAACTCTCCCTTTCTTCAGAGGCAAAACATAAACCATAAGTAACTGTGATAATAGACTGTCAACCTGTGTGGAGTTTTCTCATTTAAGTCATGTAAAGGTGTTCATCATAATTTTGTATCTTCCTGAGTAAACTGAGGGACATACCATAGCAAGATAAAATTATACCTGGAATATATAAAGTGCTGCATTTGAGTCTTGGTGATCAACCAAATGTACAGGATTGGATACAGGAGCCTGCCTGGATAGGACTGAATCAGACTTAAATATGTTAGTTGTCAGAAATTCCCACACAGCCAGCAAAAGGAAAATGACCTAGAGATGTGTTAATATCATCTGGCAGCTGGAAAAGAATGACCAGGATTTAATTACATAATTCTCATAAGATTAAGTTAGATCATTCTAAGTATCTCAGGAAAGAGGTAGGTTAATTGGGAATTGGATCTTGGGAGCATCTTGGGAAAGGCAGAAGTTCAGCCCTTCTTAGTCCATGTGGACATCACGGAGGCTTGGAGGCTAGTGAAGGCGGTGTTCTCACATTGGAAGCTGTGTATTGTCAGCTAGTTTCTCTCACTGCATCTACATAGATCCAGCATTGGGGTCATGGGTTGGGGGTTTGATTAAAAGAACACCTCTCGCTGGGTAGTGGTGGCGCACGCCTTTAATCCCAGCACTTGGGAGGCAGAGCCAGGTGGGTCTCTGAGTTTGAGGCCAGTCTGGTCTACATAGCGAGATCCAGGACAGGCACCAAAACTACATAGAGAAATCTTGTCTCGAAAAATTAAAAAAAAGAACACCTTTCAACAGAGCTTACCATATTTATAGCATGTGACATCCTAGGTTGAATGATCTTCTAGTATCAGAAGTTTTCAAGTCAATCTAAGCGTGGAGTCAGAGAGGCCACTACAGTGTTGAGAGCTGTACTAGATAGCTTTAAAAAATGGTAAGATTTAATGGGTGTTTACAAAAAATAGCCTTTTATTACCACTCTAACCCTTTTGACTTCTGTATTAATAAAGTTAAGTGAGTAACCAGTTCTGTTTGTGAACTCCAATGAGGAGTGTAAGTTTAAGAGAATACTGAATAAACTCATTTATTCACTCCATTTACTAAGAGCTTATTGCATTTCTACTCTGTGTTATTCACTCTGATAAGCACAGGATATTAAAAGATGTGTAAGATATCAAAATAGCTTCCAAGGAGTTCATATTGGTGACAAATTCTTCCTTAAGTTTAACTATATTCTTTTCACTGAAAGGACACTCTGTTTTGTTCTTGCTCAATACTGTCCTAATATTTATTTTTATTTGCTTTTATTTTCTTGTATCAAGCAATTTCAAGTTCACTTAACATGCTTGGCATCATTAGACTCTTAGTGTATATTGAAATTGCTTTTTGCTTTTCTTTCTTCTAGTTATTATTTTCATTCATTCCTAGATTCATTTATTCATTTGTTAATTTGTTGGTCATTGGTTATGAACTGGTTATAAATTAGTAATTCTCTCTTTTTAAAATAAATTAGTAATTCTTTGATGCTGATTTTTTTCCAGATGCTGTTGTGGGGTTTGAACATTCAGGGAGTTGAATAGTTGTGTGTTTCAGTAAGGGAAGTCAGGCAATGGGTGATCATTCAAAAATTAAATAGCAAATAAGAATTGTTAAAGAAATAAATAAGATGATGGTAAAAGTTGAGAGTAAGGGAAGATTTCCTGTATGACTTTCTTTTTCTTTTTCTGTTTATTCATGTATTCTTTATATAAAGAAAATTTACATATCACTATAAGTTAATGAAATGGCTACTGCTTTAAGTCTAAAAATAATGTAATTATAATCTAATTTTTCACAGTGTCCACATTTAGTCTTGCCAGTTATCAAATGACTTTTCAAAGCCTCTTCCCATTAGGACTATAAGGACAATGACTTCCCAGGTATTAGTTTTCTCTTTAGCCTCATTAATTCATTCCATCTGTTAAGGAGTAGTGGAAGAAGAGGTAAAAACAAATGAGTTGTTAGATGATCCAAAGTTATGATATCCCGAGTTACAACTATTTGTCTAACACAATCAGACCATTTCCTTTCTTCTATTCCCAGCTATGTTGTCAGGTTTCACTCTGTCTCCTTCTGAGACATCTTTTCACATCCCCTCTCCAGCCCAGTAAAGAGCAAACCTAGAATTGTAGCAATGGACAGACAGCATTGGGATGATGTATTCCTTATGGAGGACTAGGCTTGACCTATCTGAGAATTTTGCCTGTATGTTAAATATTCTTCTAATTGGGAAATTTAATGATGATTATCAGATCATATGTCATATCATCTAAGTCAATCATCTGTATCTATACAAAGTCAGAACCTTTCATTGAAAAGCAATTCATGGCATAAAGTAATTCACGGCAATGGAGAAGTAGCTCAGCAGGTAACAGTGCATATGGATTTTGCAGAGGAACTGGAGTTCAATTCCCAGCACCTACAATCACCTGTACCTCCAGCTCCAGAAGTATCTGATGCCTCTGGCCTCCTTGGGCATCTGTACCCATACACATATACCCTCACACAAATGCACATACATATACATAGTTAAAATGATTAATTAATAAATAAAATAATTAATCTTTTAAAGTAAACAGTTCACTTTGACACATTCTTTTTGCCCTTCACTTGGTCAACTGCTCCCTCTTGATTTAACCTTGCACATTAGTAACCCTGCAGGTTTTCAGTTGTTGAGGATTTCCCCAAACTGCTGCCAAGATTTGAGGCAGATGAATAAAATGATAAAGATGAGGTTTTAATCTCTTATTCAAGGATATTTGAGATAAACTGCAACTTTGGAGTTCCGAAGCATTATCTTGTTACAGACTCTCAGGTAAGTGTACCTGTCAGCCGGAGTGTTGAACACACCTCTAATGGGTCTAATCCTGCTGTGCCTCTGAAGGTTGCCTACAAACAGAAGCATGATGCCGAGAAAGGACTCTCGGATTACGCCCACATGAAGGAGCCTCCGGAGGTGAGACATGCCATGGAGGTCAACAGACACCAGAGCAATGTAAGCAAGCTCGTTCTTCACAATTTTCTGGAAAAATAATGGGTTATTTTGTCGAGATTAAAATATTATGGCATTCTAGTCACAAGGACTTTTAACATTTTTTATTTGAATTATTCTGACGACTGTCACTAAACCCTTTGTTGAACACCTTTAAATCGTGAGGCATTTCAGGCACTGTAAATTTTGCTTTGAATAAGATGCATGTGGATTCTGTGACCAGTTTGGTTATCAGCATTTACTGAACTTCCTTGATGTTGTGTGGAAGTTCATGGTCTCTACTTCAGAATGGCAGGGGCACTGGCAGAAAACCCAGCTGCCATCAGTGACCCTAGAGGAAACACAACTCTCATTTTAGGGTTCCCTACAGCACTTTCTTTTGGAATGCTTGTGGGGTTCAAATTCTTGAATGTAAGATCCAACAGATTACGAACTACGAAAGCAGGTTCCTAATGGCTTAGGAGCAGGAGCCGAGAGGGAAGGAGGTAGTTAAAGACAGAGCATTCCTTCTTTCGTTTGAAGTTACTCAGTCCTTCAAGGCTTCCACGCATTTTATCAATTACCACTATCACTATGGCCTAGAAACATAATTTCTTCTGAAATCATAGCAGAATTGTGAGTTTTCTGGGCTCCAAAAATGTACGAAATGTTGGTTAGGTTCTTGATGGGTTAGTATCAGTACTGATATGTCCTGTCCTAGGTGGGACCTTCCTAGAAACATTCCTGGTTCTTTTTCCTCATTTCACACAGAATCTGCCCTACCATGTGGCCCTATTTGTGAGGTCTATATAAAACCTGAAACTTTGATTTGAAAATGAACAGTTTATTCTGATGACTGCCCTCAGGGCCTAGTTTCACAGAGTATCTACATTTTAGTTGTTGTTCGCATCACTGTGACCACATAGTTGACAGAAGTAACCTTTGGGAGGGAAGAGTTATTCGGTTCATGGTTTTAGTGAAATTGCAGTCCCATGTTGGATGCGAACTCATGGTTCTGCAGTGGCTGCATCCAGGGTGACAAGGAATGTCAGATGTAAGTGTCTCCATGATCTCAGACTAGAAAGCAGTGAGATCTAGGCTGGATCTAGGGACAGACAGAACATTCGAATTCCCACCCCACCCCAGACCCCATTTCCTAAAAGTTCCATAGTCCTCCTCAAAGGCATGCCCCAGACTTGTCACTGAGCATCCCAAACAGGGTCTGCAGAAGTCACTTTAGGTTCAAACACTGTGGCAGTTTCTTTGCATGGTGTACACCGTTACTTGATATGAAATTGCCGCAGGTAAGTGTTTAAGTGAAAATCAGAGTGAGGCTTGACATTATGGCCCAAGCATGAAAGCCACTCACCAGTGCCAAAGTGTTCTCATGGACGCCTCAGCGCTTGTGGGAGCTGAAGAAGCTAAGTGTCTGCAATTGTCAGCAGGGCTAGTATTTTAAGGAAAAGATTTGCAAGTGATGTTTGCTTATAGAGGGTCTATAATATTCATAACTACCACTTACCCAGCTCAGCCACATACCAGGCACTGTGCCAAGACTGGTCATTTCCAGTTCTTAAAAGAATGCTGTGTTGAGTCGTATTTTGTATACAAATGAAATCAGACCAAAGGAATCAAACTCCCAGTTCTACCTTTTCTGTTGCATCACTGCCCCCCTCTGAAGAGCCACTGATTTTAAAAGTCAGGACTTTAAATGAGAATTAAAAGTCAGGATTTTAAATGAGAATTAAAAGGGTGAGAGCAATATAAGCTAGTATCTGAACTCCTGTGCTCTACAGGAAAAAAATAATTCAGATCTTGGAGTTTCCACTGTTTGACACTGAAGAAACCTTGAATTCAAATGCAAGCCTGGAGGTTAGAAGGTGGCCTGGTGGACAGGGGTGGGGGTTAGTGTTCCATGGATCCCCAGAAGCCCTGTCTAACTCTGTTGTTCACTGAAATTCAAATACTGAAGTTCTTTATCCTAAGACCTGGGCTTATTATTTTCACTCTGTCTTTTCCTTTAAAAGGTCTGTGATTGAGGGATTGAGGGACTAGAGCACAAAGCCTTTCTCCTCCATTCAATACTGTGTACATATGGGAAAAGGATGTGTTTACTTACATTCCTCTGCTGACTCAGCTCAACCTTTACATGCAAAGTTTGTACATATAATAGGATTTAGAAACTGTTTAAGACTATTTACTCAGATTTAAAGTGAAAATGATATTTGTATTCTACCTTGAGGTAGTTGATATTCTTCCCTAGCCAAGCCTTTGGAATAATACATTTGCTGTCTTTACAATATGAAATTTAACACAGGCCTTGGAAGCCGCAAGGGGAGCTTGCTTCAGGACCATAAAACATTATCTCCCAGGAAACTTCATCCCAAAGAACTCGGACACAGAATTTCCTAGTAGGATTTAGTAGAATTACCCTTTTGCAATGGGGAATGTCACTTTACTCTTGGACATCAGTGACTTAATATCAAATAAAAACTGGGGGCTAGGGAGATGGCATTGTGGGTCAAGTTTTGTTGCCAAGCTTGATGACCTGAGTTAGATCCCTGGGACCTACATGGTGGCAAGGGGAGAACTGTCTCTGATCTCCACATGTATGCTATGGCATAGGTACGCGTGTGCATGTGTACGTGTACACACACACACACACACACACACACACACACACACACAAAGAGAGAGAAATAATAAACATGAATATTGGATTCTCCTATAAACAGTGAAAGTCGACTTGTTAGCTTTTTATGTATCCACACAAATCCAGCCAGCGCGCCAAGATCCATTAAGCAAAAGGCTAGGCAGTTGTGCTCTGGCGCCTTCCTAGCTGCTCCTTTCCTGGCCTACCTCTCATTAGGATGCTCTTCAGTGGGCCGCAGTGATTTCCTTTTCCCTTTTTCCTTCTATTTAAATACCTATGAATAAACAAAAGATTCTGATGGTTCAACTAGATGCTCACCGTCAAATAACTAGGAGCTCTAGGGTGAACAGTATTTGGACTGGCGATGGGCAGTGGTAATCTCTTGCATAACTCAAATTTTAGTTGAGTGATCACTGAAGACAGAAAGCAACCCATCTCATGATGGTCTCCACTAGAGTGCACATTAGAAAAGGAATTCGGCATTAGATCATGATGAAAGTGTTTGCTTTGCCAAGTCACCATGGATGACCTTAGACACATTACTTGTCCAAGGAGCCCAGCTTCACATTTCTCAAATGGGGGCAGCAGTAACTCAAGTTTTCAATGAGATGATATCGGTGAAGAGCTTTATGGAGGGTCTCCTTGCTTCATGAAATAGTAGGCCTATCTGGCCTTCCTCCTGCTTTGCGGGGTGATTGGAGAGTTTAGGGTGATATGACAGTTAACTTGAACCAATAAAAAGAAGTTCAATTGTTTAAAGGGTCATATCACTAGGAAATAAATATGAAAAGTGAATTAGGTCAGAAAGGCAAATTCAAAAATGTCCCCATACCTCTCTCTTGTTGATACTGTCATCCAAAAATGATTCAAACCAGCTGATCTAAATCCTTTCATATTTTAAGGGATGTGCCCCTGGCACACTTTTCTAATATAATTAGAGAAACTGGAGGTATTTTTCTCCTGTGATTTCCCCCCAAAAGATGGGCTTGTAATGAAAACCTCAGTTCCATTATTAGGTCTCATCAATCTTTCACAGATGGGAACCGGCTAGTCATTCTGCACTAAGTCAAGCAGATCTCAAGTAACTGCTTTAGTTTTCTAGGTTATGTGGCTTGTGGTGGGACTGGAATGGTCAGCTTTCCTAAGTTTGTGTTGCTAATCAGTTCAATGTGCATTAAAATGTGCTCAGTGGGAGAAACAAGAAACTTTGATTTTTTTTCCAAGCAAAATGTACCTACTGTCTTAAGATGAACAAAAACTTATCAGCAGTTAAGGTTCTGTCTCATCCGAAAGTGAAAAAACTTGCAGATAACTCAGTAAAATGATACTAGGAAAACGATTATGGCTTTCTGTGGTTCCCCATGCAATTTGCAATAGCGATCACTCAGGATTTAGCATTAAAAATAGATATGTAATGTCTCGTTCACCTCTCACAAAGAATCATTAGAATTACCTCTTCTCTCCCCAGAAGGTTGTGGTAGAAATGAGATTAAATTATAAATAAGAAAATATTTATCAACTATCTCATGGCTTATAAACAATGATGACAATAGTGATAGATTGTTCTAGCCGTAAATGTACTTTATTCCATCTTTTAGAAAAATCAAAGTTATTTTCTCTCTGCTGTATAGCATCAAACCATACCTTTACTTATATTTGAAGCATTTATATTCTCTCATAGAAAACAGTGTTTACGTGAGAGTAAGGAGGAGCTTTCTGGAGGCTGTGGTTTAGCTAGCGGCACTTGCTAGTATGTATGAGGTGCTATATCCAGTCTGCAGTGCTTAAAAAAATAAAGATTCCTGGGCTATGTGCCAGTTTGATGGTATCGAGGAAGGTGCTCTGATAGCAGCAGTTTTAATGGTTATAGAAGGTTTCCTTCAGAGCAATTAAACTCTGACCTCCCTAAACTCTCTGTACTACTCATTTCTCCCCCGCCCACCTAAGAAGTCTTCTTTCTTGTCTAGTTTTGCCTCAACCAGAATCGTTTGGCTCCTCACTGGAGTAGCAGAGTGACTGGTTTCGGTCCATGTGGATTTGCTGCCTTCAGCTCTGCCTGCTTGCACAGTACCTGTCTTCTAAAGGCATCACCTGTGTGAGCCTCTCTCTCCTCCCCAAGTGCAATACCTTCTCTTCAAGGACCACCCGTGGAGGTTTTAGTTCTGTTCAGTTTATGAAATCCCCCGACCAAGGAGTCTCACCTGACCATTATATAATCCTGAAGAGCTGGCTGTGAATCCCCTGCCTCTGTGTCTGCCTGTACTTCGAGAGCAAACATTTTTTTCCCCTTCTACTTTCAAAATCCCACGAGCATTCCCTTCATCAGCCCATTCTAACCCAGGGAGCTGCTGGAGAATGTGGTTCCAGTCCTAGAAGGAAGTGTTGCTAGAGCCCCGATGAGTCTAGACAATCCTCAACAGGGACAGGGTGGGGATTTAAAGAGTTGATGTACATAAAGGATGTGACACACTGAGCACACTGCATGCATGAAGGGACCCACAAAAGACGTGGCCCTTAATGTAGCAGATACAGAAATACTGAAAGGAGAGAATACATGGAGAGTAGTAGACGGCAGAAGTACATAAGGGATGAGGCCAGGGCAGAGCTGAACTTGGTGAGACAGGGGGAAGACCCAGAGCCAGACTACTGGTGGGATCCACCTCCTTACTGGAGGTGATAAAGGACAGATGTGACTCTGTAGAAACCATGAATGGATGTCTCTTGAGTTAGCGACAGAAGTCCATCTCAATGTACCTTAAGTAAAAATGGGGAGTTTATTGGTTTATATACAGTCTTGCATTGGTATCCACAGGGATGGGCTCAGGATTATTCTACATACAAAAAAAAAATCCATGGATGCTCAGGTATTTTACATAAAATAGAGTAATATTTGCATATGATCTTTGTATATCTGCACTCATATCTTAAGCCACCTCTAGGTTATTCACAATACTTAATATAGTGTTTAAATGCTAGGTTAATGGTGGTTGTATTACTCAGGGGATACTGACACAATTTTCTTTTGCAAATATTCTTAATTGACAATGAAATCCAAGGTGCAGAATGCACAGTGATAATTGAAGTTGGAGGCCCAGCTATAAACAGAAAGCTTAAGCCACTTCTGGCAAGTTGGACACAGACCCACTCTCGTTCTCACAAGAAGCCCTCTCCTGCCCCATAGCTCGGTTCTCTTCAGCTCTACGCAGTGTCAGCTCCAACTGACAGTGTCTGTGAGGACTCAAAGTGTCAGCTGCTGTCTCCAACTTAAGCCATGTGTATAGCGGCTGACCCCAGAGGAAAGAAGGCTGGCACCTTGTCCCTCTTCTTTGGGTCCTGTGGGTGACTCTAGTCCTGGTTAGGCTCTAGTCATGACTTCTAAATGGTTATGCTACTTGATCCGATAGCCTGGGTATAGGAGGGTTCTACTGCATTAGTGGATACTACCTAACCTCATTGAAAGAATAGGAAGCACTTTCCAGACAACAAATGCCGGGGGCCTGGGGCCATGAAGCAGTCATAAAGCACTTACCTCCCAATGATGAGGACTGGATTTTGGACACCTAGAACCCATATACAAAGCCAGCACATGGCACACACCTATACTCCTAGTAACACATGGCAAGATGGGAGGTAGAAACAGGTGGATCCCTGGTGCTCATAGGCTAGTTAGTCTGACCTGTGTGGTGAAGTTTCATACCAATGAGAGACACTGTCTAGAATAAAAGGTAGAAGATGCATGAAGACTAACACCTGAGGTTGTTCTCTGACCTTCACACATGCACGCACGCACGCATGCACATACACACAGGAAGACAAGTAATCCATCCAGCAGGAGGTCATGCTGCCACCCCCTCACACTGTCAGCCATCATAACAGAGGGTGTGATTGACAGCTTGCTACCTGAGTGTCCTGGACGGCAGCCCCCCTTTCCTGTGGCAGTTCCCCACCAGTGGTGCCCTGGAAGACGGTGAACTGGCTCCTGCTCTTGTCTCCTGCGAGGCTCTGTGGTGTCCTCCTGTTTGAATGTGCGGCTCATGTCAATCTTAATATTTGTTTTGAGTCGTGTATGCTGGCCTCTAATTTGCAATTTACATGGATGATGGGGCCCTATTCAAAATCCCGCTCCTGCGTCTTTGTACCGTTCACCTCTCTTCATGCAGTCATTAGGCGGAACAGCGTATAATTAGGTAACCCATGTAAAGCGGAGGTTTCTGAAAGGTTGCGGTTCTGCTCAAAAAGTGTGGGTTTCCATCTTTCCCCCCATTCTTCTCTAGACAAAAAGCCACCCCCCCCCCCGGTGGCTTTCACGTGAATGTAGTAACTTAGAAGCAGTTAGTCGTGGAGGTGGGTAATAATTTTGGTTTGTTTTCACCTGAGAGCTGGTTTTTGTTTACACAGCTTGTGTTTAACTCAGTATGGACTGGAACTGAGTTGCTGTCATTTGCAGATGAGTACACTGCTTTTCGTAGCCAATGGAAGTGCCTTGCTTAAAGAGTCCTGAACATTTAAAATCCAACCCACAAAATAACTCTGTGTTTGGTGAATTTTTATATTTCGTTTACTGCTTGCATGCATAAAACCTACCTAAAGTTACTGGTTAAGGTAAAGCTCATGAGCATCTTAAGTGCCAAAGAAAACAGATGTTCTTGATGAAATTATACTAATTGTGTTTAAGCTGTGTTCACCTGTCAGACAGGTTCATGATTGTAAGTGTAATTTTAAAAAATAGTCTTGGTGTTAAGGCAAATGTAAGCTCGTGAGAGGTAAAGCAGACACCTCACATTTCACTGAAATGAAGCCACACAGTGCTTTGGAAACCCATTGAAGTATTAATGTCCAATTGTTTTGACTCCTGGTTATTACCATTGGAAAAAATGGGAAATACTGGGGGAACATTTTTAAACTCTGAAATGTGACAATAGAAAGTAGGTCAGTAACACCAATACACTGAGTCATGGCGACCAGTTAGGAATTAATTGGAATCAGACACTTAGGCCCCACTTGCCAACACTCTGCTCCAGAGGATTGTAAGTGGATCCCAGAGATGTCAAGTTTTAATGAATAGTCCATATGGTACCATTGCAGGAAGTTTGCTGGCAACATTAGGAATATGTTGTACCATTTGTATAGGTGACCCAGTGGTTCATATGTCAGTATTATACTCCTTTATTTTCTGAAAAAAAAATATAGATTTTAAAAATGACTATATACTTTGCACTATAACTTTAGCAGACTACATTCTAATAGACATGTCAGACAGAGCTGGTAGCACTGCCAGACAGAACTCTACCTGACTGCTAGGACTCTAGATTGTCACATTTCATGACATAGAGAAGCAGGTGGATGGGGAGATGTTGGCCACCATGCACTGTCATAATTCTCTTCTCATCTTTTCCACCCATTTGTCAATTAAGGTAATGGAAACAAGCCATACGATCAAAAGTACTTGTCTGTTTTTCTCTTTAAATCTCCACTTCTCACCCTGTGGCTGGTTTATGCCTAACACACACTCTGAGTGACAAGATTCCTTAATATAATTGTTTTTCTTTGGTGGAATTAGATCATAGTAATGATGTAATCTATTAGGAGATAAGTGTCTCCTAGGCACGGATGGCTGAGGAGTTCAGTTGGGAAGGAAGAGAAGGTGTAGTCACGAGGGTAGAGGATGCTTCACCTGCCCTCCCCGGAGGAGTGATAATGTGTATTTGTCAGGGATTGTCCTGCATCCCCTGGATGGATGGATATGAGATGGATGGGACCAAGGATGTTGTGTGTGTGTGAGACTATAAGCATACACACTTAGGCACAAACCATTTTCATAGAGTGCTATATAGAAAAATCCTTTCAGATTGGTTTGTGCCCTGGTTTTGCTCTCCTGTTTCATAGTATATATCTATTTCAGACACATTAATGAGACATGGGGTAGTATAAAGAGTTAATATATCAGTGGATGATCTGGACAAAAGTCATGAAAAACTAACTTAAGGTTAGTGTGTTCTTAAAGCTATCATTGCAAGGAGAAATAACTTCATAGAAGTGGTGGTAGCTAAATGAAATGACTAATTTATTCTTTTTCAAAACTGTCTCTTTAATCAGATTTCTTATAGAAAAGATGTGCAGGACATCCACATGTATACAGCGGAGCTTGACAGACCGGATATCAAGAAGGCAACTCAGATCTCCAAGATCATAAGCAATGTAATTTATCTCTCTGAATCGTGTGCAGATGTGACTTCCCTTTTATTTTGGAGGGAGACAAAGCTCAGCATTGGAAGTTGGGTGGTTAATTCAATTAACATAATCAATTCATTTGAATTAATGACATCTCAATTCTGTCCTGAATTATCCATTTGGTTATGTAAATTTTGGGGGATATGCATGAACTGCCCATGTTCAGCTCGACTATATCTAGTATTAGCATATTTTTAGAGGAATGCACACTCCTGGGTATATGATCACATTCAGATGTCTCAGCTTGGAAGCCAGACTTGTCAGTCTTCTGATCCCGCTTAATCTCTCACCTTACTCCCATCCAGGGAGCTCAGCTTGGCCTCTTCCCATCTGTTGCTGGTGGTTTGCCGATTCTGTTCTACCAGCACTTACTTCTGCACATTTCCTGCATGCCATGGCTGTGTCTTATCTTCTCTGGGATGCTCTTCCAAGTTAATGCCATTTCACTTGAGTGCACCAAGCATCCTGGTTAAAGTTAACTCTTGGAATAGCATATAGCCCATGCCCCCTAAAAATCGATAAAGAAACCAACTCAACTGCTAGTACCTGTTTTCCAGGGACAAAATAATAAATGCTATCTGTGTAAAGAATGCAGAGTCTCATCTCTCCAGAAAAGCCCTAGTGTTTTTTAGAAATGAGAATAAAGATAATGATGACTGACTACTTAGATTAAAATAAGTAATTGTTTTACTGCTAAAACTTGAATTTACTCAAGTAGCTATAAAATAACTTTCTGTTTCAGCAGTCACTATTTTAGTATTGGGTATGCTGTATGAAATATTTTTAATGGGCTAAGGGATTGTTATATTTTATTTTGACTAATGTTAATGTAAAGTAGGAATATTAAAATTTTCTCATTATTCACTTCAGGCAGAATACAAGAAAGGGCAAGGCATAGTGAATAAAGAGCCTTCTGTAATTGGAAGACCAGATTTCGAACATGCTGTGGAAGCCTCAAAACTTTCCAGTCAGGTAAGACTTGAGCATGATGATTCTTCAGTGGCTTTATTCAGAGGTATTATTTCAAGGAACATGGGAAATATTTCAAATAGATAATATCTTTAATTGTAAGAATAAACAAAGGTAATGTTTCTGAAGCTACTTCAACTAGGATTGCAATAATTACAAATTTCAGCAAAGGGAAAAAGTCTAATTCTCAAAACAAAGCATAGTTTTCTTTCCTCTGGGCTCACATCGGAATCTGTTTCAGTGAGTTTGGTCGTGTTGTATCCAGAGATAGTGATAGCCAATACCAAAAGCCGTATTTTTTGCACATCTACACAAAATAGGCACACATACGATTTTAACTTAGTAATAAAATATTCTCTCAATTTATAAACCTTTCCCTTAATTAGAAAATTAAAAAGGCAAGATATAATACACAAAACCTTGAAATCTGGTTTTAGAACATAAAACCCAAAGAGTCTACAAATCTGGAAAGTGAACTGATTGAGAGTTTAACAGGTTAAAATTTCAATTTTCTCAGAATTATCATATAAATGTCATTCAATTTCAATTAGAATCCAAAAGGATTATTAAGAATATGGCTGAAATAAATTTAAAGTTTCTGTGAACGGGAGTTTTCTGAAAGAGCCTTTAACAGTGTGAGAATGGAGATCAGTGATGGAGAAATACTAGAAAACCATTTGAATAAGTCAGTATGGGGTTAGTATATATTGAGAGGTAAAATAATCAATGGGATGGAGTGACATTCCTGAAATAGATTCCAGTATGTCTAAGAATTTAATGTATGGCAAAAGTATTGACTCAAGTCAGTGGGGAAAGTTAGGCTACTTAATAAATTGTGCTAATGTTACTGGCCACCCATTGTGGTGAAAGAAAATTGGGTCCACATCTTTAACCCTATACAAAAATGAATCTCAGGTAGATTAACAATATGAATGCAGGTCAATTGTGATGCTACACTCCTATAAGTCTAGGACTCAGGAGGCTGAGGCAGAAGGTTTGAGGTCAGCTTGCATTACAGAATGAGACCTCATCTCAAAGCAAAGCAAAGTAAAGCCAAAACCAAACAAATGAATGCCAATGAGCAACCCAAAAGATAGGAATGTAAAAACTAAAATATTAAAAGAAAATTCAGGGATCATTATATAGCACAAGATTTGTTCTTTAACAAGACCAGAGGTCCAGAGGTTCTAACGGAATAGTTAGAAACACTGATTGCACAAAGATTAAAATCTCTGCTCTAGGTGGTGACCCCCACTTGTCATTTCAACACTCAAGAGGCCGAGGCAGGAGGAGTGTGATTCAAAGGCCAGCTTGGACTACCTCTTGAGACCCTGTCTCAGAAACCTCAAGGAAGTCAGCAACTAAACAAGGAAGCTTATTGGAGTGGGGGTGTGACAGAGTCAACAGTAATGTTAACAAACTTTTTTTTAAAAATGCATTTATAGTTTTCAATTTGGAGGGAAAATCCTTTTCTTATATTATACTTCAAAATGGAGAATATAAATAGATAAAAATCTAAAATATAACTGAAAAATATAAAATAAATCCTAAGTCTAGAAAGATATAATGGGCTCCTGGTTTGAGATTCTTGATACTCAACATCACCATAATGTTATTTCTTCCAATTAAAGGTTCTATGTAATTCCAATTCAAATCCAAACAATTCAAAACTGAGGATCAAATTAAATAACTGAATAAATTAAACAATTGTTGAATTTGTACAGACAGGGAAAAATTGAAAATAATCTTTTAAATAATAAAAAGAAGAGCAATTATCTCAAAATATTTGCAAAAAGATCTATATATAATACACACAATAAAATATTTGAGTATCTGTTTTTGTCATAAGCTCTTTTCTATTGTGTATGTATGTGTGTGTGTCCAAGCATACATATGTGTATAAAGAGGCCCCGAAGGTCAAAGGATGATATGAGATGATCTGGGCCTGGAGTAATAGGTGGTTGTGATCTACCATGTGGGTGTGAGGAATCCAACTTGGGTCCCCTGCAAGGGTGATGAGTCCTCTTAATTGCTGAGCTATCTCTCTAGAACCCTCTTAAGTTCTTTAAGGTGGAAATCAAAATGTCTAAGAGCTCAATAGAAAAAGTGAGAAATGAGGTGAATAGAATTCTACAGAGAGGAAATAGAAATGACCAATAACTATGTGGAAAGATGCTCAGATTTATTAGGGGAAAGATAAATGTCAACAGAATTGAAGTGAAATGTCATTTGTACCCATCAGCATGCTGTCTCTTGCTAGTGTGGGGGAGAAGTACATGTCGTTAGAAAGGTTTTGTGTAGGTGGGAGTTTTGAGCAAGGCTGGGTTTAAAGGGAGAGAAATCTGCTCAAGAGGAAAGCCCCAAATAAAGGATGGAAGGTTACTGAGGACAGCAATGGGTTCTCTGAATCAAGGGGGATTAGTTATAGCCATAAATAGGAATCTGGGAGGACTTTAATGAGAGAAAGATCAGTGTTATGTTAATTTTGACTATATGGCATTGCTTACAGAGCAGAACAGAAATAATGTGTTCCTTTTATATAATATATTAGCACATGATGTTATATTTCATATATTAATATACTTTCTTAACCTGACACAAATCTAAACATATGTAGGAACAGGAAATCTCAACTGAGGAATTGCCTCTATCAGATTGTGAGCGTGTCTGTGGGGACATTTTTTTTCTGATTGCTACTTGGTAGGAGGGCCTATCTTCTGTGGGTGGCACTATCCCTGGGTAGGTGGGTCTGGGCTGTATAGGAGAGGCAGTGGAGCAATTTGGAAGGAGAATCTGGAAGGAGCATTTCTTCAGCCTTCATCATCTCTGCTTCAGCTCATGCCCTGAATTCCCTCAGTGATGGTCTGTCACATGGCGGCTGTAAGATGAAATAAACCCTTCCCTTCCCTAGTTACTTTGGGTCTTGGTGTTTCTCATGACATCCATTCAGTTTGCTGTCTTGACCATTTGAAGTCCAACGGTATTAAATGAATTCATAATGTACTACCATCATCGCCATCCATCCACTTCCTCATCCTGTAAAGTTGAACTCTGTAGCTGTTCAATTAATGGCTCCCAACCCAATGGTTAATAGGAATGATGTGCTGTATCATCAGAGCAGTAAAAAGAGAAAGCGATTCCCACATGTGATGCAGGGTGTGTGTGTGTGTGTGTGTGTGTCTGTCTGTAGGTCTCTGTCTCTCTGTGTCTGTGTGTGTGTCTATCTGTCTCTGTGTGTGTGTGTGTGTGTGTGTGTGTGTGTGTGTGTGTTCATGTGTGTCTTTGAGTTAGATTAAAAAAGAACAAATTATCATCCCAACTGCAGTCACTCAGATAGCTTCCACTTTTGGGTGAGAAATACATAATCACAGAAAAATTTGAAGGACAGCTTATGGGGACATTACTCCAGGCAGATTAAGATGTCAGCACTCTACAGGAAAGGTTGGCCTCTGTGAGAGATGAAAATCCCATGGGCCAGCTGGGAGTCGTTGCAAGAATCACACAGGAAATGATCTACCCCTCAGAAGTCTCCTTAGCTTTAGTGGAGGAGGGAGGTGGAGAGAAGGGATGTGTGTGAAAGACACAAGAGTGTAATTGTGACTTGTGTTAATTGTTTTACAGTTTACTGGGCCTTTTGCTTATAAAACAACTTTGTGGCTTGGAAGGCTTCTAAAGCATAGGAGGTTGAAGATATGCTTGGACAAAACATATCTTATAAAAGGCCTAAGATAGCTATGGAAGCCTAGATTATCCCTAATAATGCTTGTTATGAAGGCAAGAGAGCTTGGACTTGCTTTGGGTTTATTGTGCATGTGTGTGGGTGCTATAGGTCTCGTGTAGAGATTAGAGGATGTGTGTCCCACAGTTCAAACTCAGGCCTTTATTTATTTATTTATTTTTTTGTTTTGTTTTTTTTCGAGACAGGGTTTCTCTGTGTAGCTTTGCGCCTTTCCGGGAGCTCACTTGGTAGCCCAGGCTGGCCTCGAACTCACAGAGATCTGCCTGCCTCTGCCTCCCAAGTGCTGGGATTAAAGGCGTGCACCACCACGCCCGGCCAAACTCAGGCCTTTATAGCTTGGCAGCCAGCACCCTCTCGAGCCATTTGACCAGCCCCCTCCCTGACCTGTTGTACCTCCCTTCCTTCGCTGTAGATGGAAATTTCCCCTCATCCACACAGTGGACTGTACAAAAACAGTAGGGTCCCTTTCAGTGAGTAGGAAACTGTGGCAGTGGAGCAAGACCCCCGACCCCCACCCCACCCCCGAGCTACACTATGGTTCTGTGGCTTGCTTGCTGAGTGACCTGGGCCATGTTACTTTGTTTCTCTGTTTCTGTAGGATTGATCTGACAGCAGGTATAGCTGCTTATTAGAGTTGTGAGTGCTTTGTTAAAATGGACACCCAGCCCACAGATCCCACAACTCCCTAAGAATTGTCTTTTTTTTTTTTTTTTTTAATACTTGGAGTGTTTTCTCACCTACTTTTCTTTTAGATGAATTCACAGACAGGGCAGACTGAGAGCAGTCACACTCACCCAGACTCCGGTCTTAACTTCACTCTATGCACTCCTCCCTGTGAGTTGGTAAAGAAAACTTCAGAGTATTTATTTTCACATTTCAAAATCAGCCCACAAGAGTCCTGCCATTTGACGTCCCCGCTCCGGGTTTTTAGAAATATATTTTTTTCCAATCTCAAATTATGTAGCCACTGAGTGATCAGATGCTTAAACAGGTTGCAATCTGCAAGTCTTCTGTACCCATCAGCTTTGCTTTTCCTTTGATCATATAGTACGTAAATCCCTGAAAGGGAAAAGATGGGAAGAAGAGCGGATAGGAGTCCTAGAGTGGCTTGTTTAATGTGTGTTCTCAGGCGCATCAACCTGAAACCAAGGCCAAAAAGGTAGCTTCTTATTTTCGCCAGTAACTTTGAGGGTCATGCGCTTACCGACTCCTAAGCCCTTGGCAAAGGCACAAACATCCATTGGTGGAAAGGGCTCAGGAGTTCAGTGAGCAGGGAGAGGGGTGAAGGGGGTGTGGGAGAGAAGGCAAAGACAGGACAGTGGGCTGCAGTGCAGTGGGGATGACAGCAGACTGTGAGTGGGAGAGATGCTCACGTTCTGCCTGTACGCTGTGCTCTGTGGCATTTTACTCGGGCGGGGCAACAGAAATGTGTACCAAACTATTATAGTAACTCGAACAATTGCTCTAATCGCAGATGTAAGATTTTCCATTTAAATTTTATTTTTTTAATATTGATTTTTTACTTTGTGTGAGTGTGTGCATATCATGCATGCATGCATGTGAGTGCAGATGTCAGTGGAGGCCAGACGTGTCTAATGTTCCTGGAACTGGAGTTCTTGGTGGTTCTAAGTCGCCTGACATGGTTGCTGGGAACCAAACTCTGGTCCTTGGCAAGAGCAGTACTCACTCTTAAATTAAGCCATCTCTCCAGCTGCAACTTTCTCTTTCAAAACTGGGAAGATACATATTATTATGTTGTAGTTTAAAAGTTTTAGTAAAATAAAATTGCATGTGCCAAGACAAAGATACTAGTTTATGCGCATCTCAAAAATAAATGGATTGTCAAAACCATCAGCTTAAAAGTTGTAAGTAAGGTTAATTTGATACTATGTCCTTAAATCATCTGAACTTAATATTTGGAATTTGTCTGCAGGATGAAGGGATTAAATTTTTGGTTTAGTTTTATAACACAAGAGAAACAATATACATATAATAATTAGTATTTGTTACAAAATTGTATTTTTATATTGATAAGAATGATTTTAAAACTTAAAAGATCCAGTATGGAAAATTTAGTAATAAATAGTGTCCTTAAACTGCTAAGGGTATTAATTGGCTTGGAGATGCTCCCGTTCTTTCTTCCTGGCAAACACATACTCTGCCAATCTCCTCACACTGCCAAGCATTAGCTTAAATGTCATATCCCAAGTTGCCAATGTGAATGGATCTCTGTTCATTTCTGCATAGTTCTTGATGTGGTTTGTATTAGTCCTGTATGCATATGTGTCTGTGTTTTAAAAATTGACTTGAGTGACTTACCCTATGACAAGTTCCACAATCTAGGGCTTTAGGTTATGCAATAAAATAGATTAGGATGTTGATAAATATGTGGATGTCTGTTTAAGGATTTGGATTCTTAACACTTAATACAAAGGTGAGATTGTGTTATTTTGTAAAGAAAATAAAGACACAAAAGTCTCTGAGTTTAGCTCCCAGACTCAAATAAAAAAAATGAAAGAAAATATAAGAAGGAATGAATGAAGGAAAAAAGGAAGGGAGGGAAGGAAGGAGGGAGAGAGGGAGAGAGGGAGGAAGGAAGGAAGGAAGGAAGGAAGGAAGGAAGGAAGAAAGGAAAAAGAAAGGCATGGATAACATTCTGTGTAAAATTCAGACTTAAAAATCTGATTGTTTCTGTGATGAGTTCTATTTTAAATTCTTTACTGTTTGCCTTGTTCACTTGCAGTTCAATTTTAGCAAAGATTGGAAAAAAATGGATACCTTTAGACACATGGTGTGTTGTTTTCTCTGATAATTAAGGTCCACTCCTCAGATTTTCCATTTTTTCCTAACATTTGTTTTTATGGTGATGCTGAAGGTTATGTTTTTCTCTTTGCTGGGTCTAGGGGCCCTTAAACATAGGTGATGTTATGAGGGAGCCAGACACCTGAGAGCTGAAAACTTGTGTGTTTAGAAGTCTCATTTCCTGGTGGCATGGCCTTGTGTGGTGGCGCTTAGAGAATTAGTTTAAATTCTGTCATCATGGCCTAACAGTCACAGTGGGGCTCAAAGTCCCCTCAAGTCTCACTATAGTCAAAACTCTTTAGAAAATAGGAGTTTGATTTTATATAATCTATCATTCTATATACTTATTAGAAAGTGATGGATATTTGAGCCACTATGTATGACACTCATAATGTAAACAAAGTAACTTCATTATTTAGTTATAGAACTTCATTTATTTCTAAAACAATGAATCTGGGTAGAAGGAGTGACATTTTATCTTAAAATCAACACTTGTCTCTCCCTTTCTGCAATGATCTCATAACTGGCAGGTCTATGCTTTGTTCCATGCTTGGGTAAGCAGTGACAGTCGAGGCACTGCAGGGACCTCCTGGGAGATGTGAGTGTGAATAGGGAAATAGACAGTCAGGTTGTGAACTGTGCATTGAAAATGGAACAGAATGTTGAACATGTCTGCTCTGTTAGTGAGGGAGACAGTTGGAAGGTGAAAGATTTGACCCATATAAACCATCTGATTCTCTTTATTCACGCATGTACAGAATATGGAGAAGCTGTGAGGCAAGATCCAGTTGTATGTCAGTGTTTGATCAGTGTATTTTTATATAATGCAGTTATTTGGTGTTAGTTGATTAATGGTGGAAACTCTTCGGTTTTGTTTCCTGCACATCTTTTGAAACCACATCACTTAGACAACCAAGGTTTAGAATGAAAACAAATTTACAGCACTCTGCTCATTTTGTGTGTGTGTGTGTGTGTGTGTGTGTGTGTGTGTGTGTGATTATATCAGAATGATGTGGGCAAGAGATTGAAAATTATTTCTCAGAAATATGTTTTTACTTGGAAGAGGAAATGCCAGGTTTAGGAACTGCTAAGTTACCATTTTTATTTCTCAGACCAATCCACACATTGTCTTTGCATTTAATGGAGTCATGGAGCAACTCCTTGGTATACAAAAACCGTAGGAAATACGCTGTGGAGGTTGATAAGTGTCAACTTCACAGAGTGTGGAATCACCTGGGAGATGAGTCTTTGGGCATGCCTGTGGGGGATTTTCTTCATTATGTTCATTGATACTGGGGAGACCCATCGAAATTGTGGGCGGGACCAATCTATGAGCAGAAGGTCTGGCACTGTATAAAATGGAGAAGGCAAACTAAGGGGCAAGCACGCATTTATCCCTTGCTCTCTGTTGCTGTCCTTTAGATGATACGTGAGTAGCTGTCTCTAGTGGCCTCCTCTCTGGCCTCCTCACAGTGATGGGCTGTAACCTGGAACTGTGAGCGAGAATAAATCCTTTCTTCACCAAGTTGCCTTGGTTGTTGGTGTATTTCATCCCAGTAACGAAAGAAACTCAGACAGGCTCTCTGGGGCCAAAGTCAGAGGACCTACTCTCTCACTTACGTAACTGAGACACAAGTTGGTTGAGGTTAGCAAATGGGGGTAACTGATTGGAAACTTGCTGCCAATCGGCATGGCACAACCCATCAGCTGGTGAGAGCAGCCCAGCCACTGCCCAGCCACTGCCCAGCCACTGCCCGAGCGCAATCCCTGTAAAATGACTAAGCAGAGGGAAGTGTGGCTTAGAAAAGGGAGTGCAGGCGTGAACCTGGCCGAGTAAGAAGGATCCTGAAGTGAGTGCCAATTAAGTAGTGGAGGAAATCGAAACGTTTTCTATTTGCGCTGTTGGCTCTGATTTCAAGACATTAAAAAATAATTTAAAATACTTTTTCATTTTAGAAATGCTGTACCAATTATTTAAAATCAATTTATCAGGCAGCACGAATATCAGAAAGCTAGTTTTAAAAAGAACACACAGAAGATACTTCTTCAGTGCTGGATTCCTACCCAAGCTTCAGCAGCTCACTCTCAGACACCTGGCAGGTATCCCTGAAGAAATCCACTACCCCCAACAGGACCATGAAGACAGTCATTTTCCAATTCTGTTTAATAAGGACTACTGCAAGGCAGAGCCTTAAGGCGTGTGGATAAATGCTGTTTATGAGTATATTATAAGAAAACATTTTTTCCCAGTATTTTAAAATACTGTAAATTTATAGAAATAGAAATGAAAGCCTGAAACAGTTCATTTTTGCTTTTGAAATGTGTACATGATTTCCTGGCAGCATTCATCAAGGGCATATGAGATGTGAGAGACTAAGGTGTTCTTTATTTATCTATTCAGGGAGAGAACTTACCCCCACATTCCTGTCTATAATATGCACCCATATAATAACATATCCATGGTGTAATAACTCTAAGTTGATAGCACTTTTCTTGTCTTCTGACTAAAGAATCAAAAAATTTAGACTGAATGTTAAACATACTTTTTCTGCTGGATAAGTTGAGGAGTTAAAGCGGGAAAAACTAAAACTGTCAGGAAGCAGATATCGAGCGTTGTAGGAAAATCTATTTTCTAAAACTTAGGCTTTGAACAATTGAGACATGGATGTTGCAGGAAAATATAGTTTTAAAATGAATCTTTGAATAAATGAAATATGGATACTAACTGTATTCTTTATTTGGAATGTTTCCCACAGGAAAAATCCATTCAATTTCTGGTTTCAATGACCCATTTTCTAAGTGTGGCAGACCTTAAGAAATGTGTTTTCTCAGTTCTAACTGATCCTGGGTTCCAGGAGTACAGAAATGGGAACCAACATGTAAAAAAATTATATTTTAAATACATAATTCTCATGGGCAGAGAATCTGAGCTAGTTCATGCTTAATGACATTCATGACCAATATTCAAGTAGCACATTAAATTTTTCTAAATGCCTCATTAAGCTTTATGGAGGGGGAATGAATATCACGAATTTACATTTTGTAACTACTCATCTGAAAGGTAGCTTTTATTTGATCTCTTAAAAAAAAGAACCTAATGTGTTACTTTTCCACCAAAATATGGGACGTAATTCACTGTGTCCTTTTTCTTTATGATAGGTTAAATATAAAGAAAAATTTGATAATGAAATGAAAGGAAAAACCCACTCTTACAACCCGCTGGAAACTGCTTCTTTTCGGCAACACCAGCTCGCTACTGTCCTGGCAAGCGATGTAAGTTGTAATCTATAGAAATTGCTCTCAATATCTTTTGAGTCTTGTTTTCCTAGAACTAACTGTGTTGTAATTACTGATATTTAATCAAGATCATGTAATTTCCAAGTAATTTGTAGTTGAAAACACTGAAGCATATTTTCCTGAAGCTTTTCCCCCCAGAAAAGTATATTATTATAATTTGCTATTAATGGTTACTGATTACTAATTAGTTAATAAGTAGGAACAGTGGTATGAATAAAATTATTATGTCTGATCAAGAGTAGAAATAGATTATAGAGTTTTGCAGGGAGGAGATGTGTTTTATCACAAATTAGTAGGTAGGACAACAATTAACTCATAATTATAGCCACAAAATTGAGTTTATTATAAAGGACTACCTGATACATGGAGGTTTATCAAAAAGAAGCTGTAGTAAATTGTGCTGCTAAAAGTTTAAAATTTATTTCAGTTTTATTATAGTAAGTGCTATCTTTGCAGATTTATTTTCATGTTTTTAAAATTAAGATGTGTTAATTTGATAAGAAATGATATTTGGAATTGTTACTAGGAGGAGATATTGCATAAAAGCAGAAACATTGACAAACAGATCACTTTTCTATCATTTAAAATGTATGCAGATCCTTTCCAGTCATGAGAATTGAGCATCATGAAAAGCTTGCTCCTCTGGTTCTTCAGCTCGGCTCACCTCTTCTCCTTGGGGCTGGCTTGACTTTTCTTTCATTAAGGTTTAGAAAGTATTTATGGTCAATAACCAGTTTTGGTTTGTCTCTGGAAACTAAAGTGGATATTTTTGTCCTTCTGAACCTCTGGGGATGTCAGAATCTTTCTTTTCCTGACTGATAAGACTTGAATGTGTGCAGAGACGAGTTAATCTGAAAGGAAACTAGAACAGAGCCTTGAATGCTCAAGGCTGAGGGTCAGATCGCCTAGATGTGATCCTGTCCTGCCACCTAGAATCCTGTTATGACTTCAATCTTTCTGTGCCTTGGTTTCCTCTTCTGTCAAATAAGAATAAAATACCCAACAATTAGGGTGGCTGTAAAGATTTGTTTCACATGCATAAAGTGTTTAAAAGTTTTGTGCATACAGTTCATGTTTAATACGCTTGATACTGATATTTGATTCTTATTATTAGTATTAAATTTCAAAGTAGTTGGTTTAAAACAAACAAAATAGATTTACATGGCTACAGAATGCAAAGCCGCAAAAGCTTAAAATTACAGTAAAAGTAAAACTGAAGCAATTTGGCAGCAGTGTGGAAAGAATACAGCAATGAGTCTCCTTATTTTCTAAAAGCAGAGTTTCTACTATAATTACATAAGTGTGTTAACACCACCGTTTTGGAATATATAAACAGTAAAAGAAATTTAAATGTTTTCAAGTCCATAAATGGCCATTTTACTCATTCTGTAGTGAATCAGCACCATCTAGTGGCTACTTGTAAATTCTTCTGTCACTTCTGTACTAATTGTGTGAGGAAGGGATAAAAAAAAAAAAAAAAAAAGGTAACAATGCCAGTGCAAGCCTGTTTTCTTCTGCTAGATGGTGTTTTGTTCCATGTTGTTTTTGTAGGTGAAGTACAAGAAAGATGCTCAAACCATGCACGAGCCAGTTTCAGACCTCCCAAATTTGTTGTTTTTAGACCATGCTCTGAAAGCCAGCAAAATGCTCAGTGGAGTAAGTGGGCTATCTGGTGGCCATTGTAGCGTAGATGTGTGTAGTTTTGAGATGCCAGTGTTCCTCTTTGCTCCCGGGCTCACCTGCTTCATTCGATGTGCCATGTGTCTCTCCTCTCCAACAACTAACTCGCTGAAAAGTAGCCACATGCTTGTACAAATCCCATGGTCAGAGTCTCTTTATAAAAGAGTTCTTTTTCTTATTCTTCACCCATTGATAGTTTCATACGTGTATGAAATACATTTTAGGCCTTTCACTCCATATTACCCTATCTTGTCCCCCATCCGTCTTCTGCTCAATCCCTTCTTCTTGCCAACACGGACCTTTCCTACTGTCATGTCTATGTGTGTCTTTGACCTACTGAGTTTAATGAGGGCTACCAGAAAGAGTGTAGGGTGGAGGTGATTTGCTGGGGCATAGACAGTGGACATAGCTGTTCCGCTGAAGAAAATGATGCCCAAAGTGGGTTCTTGCTAGCTCCTCACATCTCATGACTACAAGCACATTTGTTGGTACTGGTAGAAGCAAGCATCCATTCTGTCTTCTTCCCATTTCTTCATCTATATCAGAATGAAACCACTTGATGTTCACGCCTTGCAGTCAGGCTTTTATGAAAGCCACCCCAGTGTATCATATATGTTATGTCTTCAGTAGCAAATACTTGCCATAGTTTAAACTTCATTTTCTCTGACAAGAAATCATGAAGGTTCTTATGTTGCATGGACACTAGGAATTTAGTCTTAAGATGGATTCCATGTTATCTGCAAGTCAGCAAGGACGACTTTATGTCCTGATGAAAATATTTGTGTTTCCTATTCCTATGGCCAGTCCCTCAGAACTATAGCCTTCTGGGATACTGTGTCCACCCTTGGTGCATCTGGATACTGACTTCACTAATTCTTACAAATGATGACCCTTGGTCATTGGTGGCTCCACTCTGCATGTATCCAGATCCCACCTGGTAATGATCAACTCTAATTTGACCCTGTTATTTCCATACCTATTTTAATAATAATCACCCATTTGTTTAAAAGCACTCTAACTTACAGACTAATCCAGATCAGATGAAGAAATACATGTTAGGTAAGGTGTGAGGCAGTCTTTTTAGTAGCTGAGCCCACAGTCTTCAGTGAAAAGCCACAAGACTAGATCTCTAAGCCATAGTCATAAAGGAGCTCAAGTTCTTAGCATTGACAAAGCACCATTTGCTATTTGTATTTCTTTTCTCTTGAATGTCGCCACCACCAGCCTTCTCAGGGTGTACACTTCATGTAAGTGCTTCACACTTGCAGAGATTAGTTTTAATTTACTTAAAAAGTATTTGTCTTTGGGTTGAAAGGAGTATATTACTGTTTGCAGTGCTAGAGCCACGTCGCCAGGCTCAGAATTAGCCATTGGTGTCAGGATGCTTAAATTACATTGCCCTGTCTTGTCCATGTTCATCCCTCCACCAACATACACATCCTAACCACACCTGCATTCCTCTTCTGGTTTCATGCTTTTCCTCTTGATTCACTTTTCTGTCCTCTGTACCCTCTGCTCTCTTCAACCTCCAGTGTCCAGCTTTTGTCTTTGTGGCAGTGTTTGCCATGTCCTGTCCCCAGCCTACACTCAGGCTAACTCTCCTAGGGACGTGGGGATTCATGTGTAATATTTCTTTTCAAAGTGTTGATATTTGTTTGACAATAGAGAAAAAGAATAAAATTTGAATGTACACAGTTTCTGTCCTCCCCCAATAGAAAGCCCCCAACAAAGTCACATTATTCATTTTATTCATTGTTCACAGAGCTTAGCTCACAGGCTGTCTTAGCCTGATATCACAGAAATGATTACATAGGTCAGAGAGTTTGACTTTCCCCAAATGATTTACATATTAAAATTGTATGAGGCTATATGGGCTTAAATTTGTTTTAAGTTAGAATAGCCTTCTTTTAAATATTTGTATAAAGAGAATAGAATTTTTCTTGATGCATAAGGTGACTGGATTTTATTAAAACATTGAAGAAGAAATTTTATGTTAGATATTTTGCCAAAGCTGAGTGCCAGTTTGTTATAAAAAGCCTTTTTATTAAACATCTCTAAATGTCTTAGTCTGCATCAGATATTTTAAATTTTAATCTGTTGTGTGTAGAGTGTAGAGCAGAGTGGGTAATTTTAAAGCCTGTCAAGAACCATGAATTAAATGTTTGAAGAAACACTTTGTTGTGGAAAATGTAACTTGTAACTTCATATAAATTTAAAAAATATATATTGTGTTATTCTACATAACTTCCACTAGGAGGCAACAGAGACTATTCAATACAGAAAATGAGCCCCTGTATTAGAAATTTCATTTGAAGATTGAAGTTCAAAGGATTTGATTTTAGCCCCCTTTTTAGTATATATCCATTATTCCAGGAATAATTCCCTAGACTTCATTAGGTATGGATTTTGATTCCAAAATAGAATATGTTCTGCCTTAATACGTTAAAGCTATATTTACTTTATAAGTAGATATTATGAAAATATCTAAACAAAGCATAAAATTTCTTAATTTTTCATTTCAGGCTTAGGCTTGACCATTTGCTTGAATTAGCTTTTATTTAGTTTTAACTTAAAATTCATAGAGGAACCAAAATTTAGCGTGTTCTCTTCAGTCAAGATGTAATGTGTGGACATTGGCAAGATTTCCTTTGGTACTTTTCCAAACTCTTTTCATTCTGGTTAGAGTTCGAGTGACAGGTGGCACAGAAACCAGGCTTCCTCGGGAGCTTTGTTCCCTGTGTCAGGGCACCAACATCTTCCATCTTCCTGTTCTTGATACTAAATGTTCCTGCCCCTCACACTCCTGTCCGTGGAGCATCTCCTAAGGTGTTTATGGCCACTTCTTTTAGGCCACCCTTTAAATGTTACATATATTTCCCTTCACTCTACACAGAATGTCTTTTTTTCCTGGAACCCATGGGCAATTGATTTTTACCTTTGTATGTCTCTATGGACTTGCATCTCTGAGACTATTCTTTTCTTGTAGAAGTCTTTTCCAAGTAGGACTAATTACTAAGTGTCTGGTCTCTAGTGCTAGAAATCACGAGGCAATCTTGTTTCACTGCTGCTGATCTAGAGTAAAATGTCATCCCTACTCGATCTAGTCCCTTCCAAATTTACCTTCTTATGTATGTCTAAATAGTAGACTGCCTACTCCAATTTCTTCAACTCAAAAAAGAGAAAAATCAATGAATTGTACCCACATTCTTCAGGTCCTCTTCTCAACGCCTCCCATCCTTTCCTTGGAATTAAAAGTTAGTTCAGTTGTCTCTCAGCTTCTCTTTCTCCCCACCACTTCCATTCTTGCTCACGGCTAAGTCTCTTTCTACAGCCAGGGTCCTAGGTTCTAGCTTCCTTTCACCCTGTTCTCTCTTTTTGTTCCTATCTCCTTATGGACCCTGCCAAACACCATGTATGTCCTAGGATAAGAAGCAGTGTCTGTATTTCACCCTACCTTGCCCACTCATGATCCACGGGACCCCATCATCAGCTTTTCATTACCACCCCGTGACTGTCCTCCACATCATGTTTACAATTAATCACTGACTATTTCTTGTGCTCTTCTCAAGGCCTCCTACAGTGAGACCGTCTTGCATTGTCCATTTATCTTAGTTCCAGAACCTCCTCCATGCCGGCTGCTGTAGACGCAGGCTCTGTAACAGCACCGCAGCCCCGCCCCACCGGCTTGTATGTTTGCTTTACTAAGAATCATTGTGAGGCAGTAGCCCAGGGGTGCCTAGAACTCACAGTAGTCCTCCTGCCTCAGCCTCCCATGAGCTACCATACCCCGGTTACATTCTCCAGTCTTAATTTTACTCACCGCTCTCTCTTATTCTAAACTTATTTTCGTGTTTGATTTTAGTGGGAATATAAAAAGAATTTTGAAGACAACAAAGGATTGTATCACTTTGATGCAGAGGCCACTGAACACCTGCACCATAAAGGCAACGCCACCCTCCAGAGTCAGGTGAGCTCTTTGATGAGCGCGGCTCACCCCTCAGACCTGTGTGACCATTGGGGTGCCTTCTGCTTAGCGCCAGGTTCTTGGAAGAATGGAGCCCAAGAACATTAATTTTGCTTCAGAAAAAGTATCTGAGACTCCATTTTTTTATCCTTTGGGTCAAGGAGCTGGAATCATGTTTCAACTTAAAGTAGTTTTCATAAAAATATGTTCTTCATATAATTAAAAAGTTTAAATCTAGGAACTAATTAAATTGTGATCAAATCTCATGATGATTAAAATTTTTACAGTGTGCTGATTTGACATTTTTGAGCTACAAAATTAATTTTCTGGATATAAGGTTTATTATAATTTCTCCATTTAATTATAAGTGTTATTGAAAAGGGAAAACATCCTTATTAATGTATTTTAAATTAATATTTCTTCTAACTATGAAACCCTATGTAGTCTGTTAAAAAAAAACCTTAAAACTTTCTTCCTTCCTAGCACATTGTAAGACCAGTATCTGTTTTTTATTATTACTCTAAATTTAAACAGTTGCTAAAGATGCTATGCCTAGCATCTGTTAAAATAAAGATTTACATGACTCTTTTAGATGTATTCCGTGGAGCATAAATTTCACAACGATTTGAAAATAAACTACTTTCTTCCCTTCCCGTTGCTGTGATAAAATACCCCAACAAAAGTGGTTCAAGAGAGAAGGGGTTTATTGGTTTCACAGGTTATAGTCCATCACTGCAGGGGAGCCATGGTGGTGGGTATTTGAAGCAGTTGGTTACAGATGCATCCATAGCAGAGCTCAATGAAGTAATGCACACATTATTGTGCTCAACCCACTTTCACAGGCTAGGACAAACACCTAAGGAATGATGTCACCTAGGCTGTCTCTTCCCACATCAGTGAACATAAATGAAACAGTTTCCTCCAGGTGTGTCCACAGGCTAACCTGACCTAAGAATTCTCATTGAGAGTCCCTCCCAGGGGATTCTAGAGTGTGTCCAGTTGACACTTCAACACCCCTCCCCAAAGTTTGGAAGCACCAGTCTTTAAATCCATTCTCATTCTTTCTCTCTCCCTCCCCCTCCCCCTTCTCTCTTCTTCCTCAAGATAGGGCTGACCTGGGAGTCTCTATGTAACTTGACTTGCAGCTAACCTCCTACCTCTGCCTTCCCAGTGTTGGGTTTACAGACGTGCACCACTATGCTCGCCTTAAATTCTTATTTTTCTTTGAATTTCCCCCCCACAAAACTGTATTCTAATATAGAATGATATCATGTATGCAGCACTCTTATTTATCCATTAAAATTTTCTATAATAAAACTCCATCATAAATAGGTATTTCAATTTTTTTTTGTCATTACAAAGTTCTAAGTACTGAAAATTTTCCTTTAGGTTGACTACCTATCATTATCATTGTGCAACTTAAATAATTTTACAAACCATTATGAAGTGTTGGAAGACATGGCTGGCTGGTTAGAGGTCACAGCCTCCTCATGGCCCAGCAGCTTATCTCAATAAGCTTGGCAAAACGAAGCTCCCTCCCTCCCTCCAGCAGAACTTCCTGCCTCTAGCTGCCCTTATTTGGAGAATGTCCCTGGGCCTGGAGGACTGACCTTATCTAAAAGCTGTCTCTAAAACCAGATGCCTGATTCATCTTTAGCTTGACCCTTGGCACAGATCCCTGATAAGAAGACTTGTGCTAAGGGCTCTGCTATAGGACCCTACTGCCACATACTAAGCCCTGTGATAGGGGCGAGCCACTTAATGCAAATTAGGTCCCCGGGCTCCCCAATCCTGTATATTCCTTATGCTCTGGAATAAAGTCGAGCTGATTCACTGAAATATGTCTCCTGGAGGGCTGTCTCCATTCATGCTCATGGGCCGCCAAAGCTTTCTATTGCCCCCTCTGCCTCTTTCCCCTCTTGACCTGGTGGCCATGGCCAACAGGCTAGAGGTGGGTGGGAAAGAGGATCCCTACAATGAAGCTCAAGAATGAATGAAAATGCATTTCTGAATGAAGTGAGTCATGATCAAAGCTTTCCTATGAACTGAGTTAAAAAATTTTACTAAAACTCAACCCTGATGCTGGCTTACATACAATTTTAGCTTTTTTTTTTTTTAAAGAAATAGAAGACACCAGGTTGGGAATACAGCTTAGCAAGTAAGAGTGGCTGCTGTACAAGTATTGAGGACCTGAGCTCACCCCTAGAACCCAGGTCAAAAGCTGGGGTGGCTGTATGCCCCTGTTGCTGTAAGAGTGTGGGGTGGGGTGATAGAGACAGGAGGATTGCTGGGGGTTTCTGGCTGCCAGCCTAGTTCCATATCCACATCTGTCTGTGTCAGGGAAGTAAGACAGAGGGTGACAGAGCAGGACACCCAGCGTTCTCTTCTGGCCTCTGTGGCACATTCACACTCACACAGACGTGTGTACACACCACACACATACACCACAGACACAAACACATATGCACACATACACAAAGAAAATAGAAAAAACAAAACCTGAAGTGACAGAAAATATCCTCCCTTTTATAAATAGGATGGAGATAAAACTAATTTTAATTGAAACAAATAATTCATAATATGATAGTATTAAATAACGGATAGTGAAATAAAAGGAAATCATATACGGTTTAGTTAGTATCTAGGGGAAAACTCAGGAGTTCAGGGAACGTTTTCCCTCTGTTGACAGAAAGATAATCATACTCATTTTTTAAAACTTATTCAAAATGTTTTGATATACATGGAGACTATCAGTGAGCTCGCTCTCACCTTTTCCTCCTCCTTCCATTCTTCTCTGCCCCACATATGTATGCTGTAAGTACAGATATAAATAACCCCATCTATTTAATAAGTATCGACATATTCTACCTGTTTGACAAAATGCTTTATTTGTCCTCTCTAGAACACATTATTTAGTGTCCAATGACACTAAATACCTGACTCTGGGGAACCCATTCATCACCCTAAACTGCCAGAATAACTTGATGTCACAAAACCGGATGATTAACTTGGCGTACATTTATTGTGTTTTGCTCTATACTTAGGTTTTGGTTGTTGTTATTATTGTCAGGAATTGAACCCAGGACCTTGCCCTTGCTAAAAATGTGCTCTGCCACTGAACTATCTACATCCATTATTTTTATATGCTTTTAATATTTTTTTTCAATTCAGGTAAAATACAGAGAAGAATATGAGAAAAACAAGGGCAAGTCCATGCTTGAGTTTGTTGAGACACCATCTTATCAGTCTTCGAAGGAAGCTCAGAAGATGCAGAGTGAGGTAGGGGACGGGGCTTGTTGCCAAACGTTGATCCTTGGAGTTTTCTCATTGGAAAAGAATCAGCCAGTGATGAGCGGGATCTAGAGACAAGAGCTCTGCTCTGTGGGGCAAGCTTTGGAACCTGTGTTCTAGACCCAGCACAGCTCTGAGGGGCAGGCTTCTGTTCTAGACTCAACATTGTTCTGTAGGGCAGGCTTGGGGGCCTGTGTTCTAGACCCAGCACAGCTCTGCGGGGCAGGCTCACAGCCTTCTGTTCTAGACTCAGCACAGCTCTGTGGGGCAGGCTCACAGCCTTCTGTTCTAGACCCAGCACAGCTCTGCGGGGCAGGCTCACGGGCTTCTGTTCTAGACTCAACATTGTTCTGCAGGGCAGGCTTGGGGGCCTGTGTTCTAGACCCAATATTGTTCTGCAGTGCAGGCTCAAGGACCCCTGTTCTAGACCCAGCACAGGTCTGCAGGGCAGGCTCAAGGATCTCTGTTCTAGACTCAACATTATTTTGCAGGGCAGGCTCAAGGACCCCTGTTCTAGACCCAGCTCAGCTCTGCAGGGAGTCTCAAGGACCTGAGCACAGGTCTGCAGGACAGGACCTGTGTTCTAGATCTAGCCTCTCACTGCCAGAGGTCACTGGATTTGTCTGCACCTTGGTCTACTGATCAACAACTCTAGCTATCAAGCAGATGAGCTCCTCTCTGCTCTCACTCCCATGGAAAAGCCCTGACACTTCTTCAGATTGGCCATGATCAATGCTTTCAAACTGTACCAATGTAAAATCGAGTGTCTAAAACTAGTTGAAAAATGAAGACCTGGTTGCTTTTCTTTCCCTCCCCCCACAATGGTAATAGAACCAACATTTAAATAGTTAAGTCCTTATTTTGTGCCTGCCGCCTTGCTAAGAGCCTCACCTCCAGCAGCTCATTTAATCTTTAAAGGAAATGGCTTGAGGAGAATGTGATCCCTGCGTTTGTAATGCACTGAAGTAAACTGTCTTAAATTAAGTCACTTATCTGGTCAATGTCACCAGTGTTTTAGGACCTGGTCACCATCATGGTACTTCTTTCTTTGTAAGTTTATTTAACTGACCCCTGACCCCACCCCCAGTAATACTTGAATGTGTTTTGTTTGTTTACTTTGGTTCTAAGAGAAGATAACACTGCCACAGGCAGCCACTCCTCAGACTATAGTTTCTCTGACCAGGTGATCCCTTCATTTTCTTTCCATTTAGGGTACCAGGCAGTTCTGTCGACAGTCAGCACCCACCTTATATGGCTACTAATGGGCTATTACCTTTGAGGGACAGAGGCAAGGACCAGTAGTGTCAGACACTTGCAACTTAGCATTATGGTTTTGTTTGTCATCTGCTTTGTTGGGATGCTAGGATCCATCTTTTTGGAAAGAAGCCCTTCAGACAACCTGAGACTAGACACACTTGGTTAATTCCTTCTTAAGTCAAAGAGGAGAGAGGCATTATTTATCCATTCCTGTCATATCTTTTTAAGTCTTTTATTGAATTTGATAAAGAACTGTCAGTACCTGCGGAGATTAAGTAAGTTGTCTGTTTTAGGAGACTTGGCAGAACTGGGAAATTCGGTCCAAGTTCAGAAGCTCACAAAAGCTCACCTTAAAGAGGACAGATTATATTGGAATCTCATTTCTCCATTTAGGCAATAGTATAGAAAGCAGTTTTGGATATCCTTTATATTGCACGATTATCTGCCATTATAGAGCCGCCTTTTATGTGAGCTAGCAGTGGATTTTTAATGGCTCTCCCCATTTTATAGGAAGTACGTGGCCACTGTTGCAGGCCCACAGCCCAGGGAGAGATTTAGACTTTCATGGTTCTCTGCAAGTTTAACAGTGTGTAAAAACTGTTAAACCTGTGTTCACTGAAGGATACAGAGAACAAAAGTCTTTTGTTTTTTACTTATTATTATTATTTTTTTTTATGAAAGCAACACCTGGCTGGTGGCTTCAGTCTCATCATTACCATGATCTCACAGCTTCACCACAGCCTCTCCGGAATTTCTTCACAGTGTTTCCATGGCTTCCCCTTAGCCTTCTCCTTGGCTTCCCCTTAACCTTCCCATGGACCCCCCCACAGTTACCCTGTGGTCCCTCACATCCTCCCTGTTGCTCCCCCATGGATTCTCATAGACACCCCACAGAACCCTGACATCCTCCTCATGCCTCCTAAGTTGGTCAGCTCCCTGCCACACTCTCCTGGCATCCTCAGCCAGAGACAGGGACTCATGTTAAAACCCCTCTCTCATGCTGTTTCTGTGATAATCTTAATTTTTTTGTACCCCAATTACTTAACTTCCCTCTCACCAACACACCATCATCTACCCCATCATTCGTGGTTAACATATTTCAAGGCCTTGTTTCTAAATGAGAAACGATAGTAATTTGGAGAGTTGGGATTTTAACACCTCACCTCTCATGTTTTAAAGCCTCATCTCTCTCGTTTTCTTCCCCGTTTGCTCTTCCCCTCCTCCGAGTGCGACAGACAGGCTGTCCCTTTAATTATAGCCACTGATAGATAGATTCCTCTTTTTCCCTTCAGATTTTTCAGTTCTGCCTGCTCTCAGAAAGGCTTGATGAGAGTCAGGGTTTCCATTTGGGGAAACTTTTGGGCCAGACTGATATTCTCAAGGCTAGAGAAATAAATATCTAAACATTTTAGATAAAGTGATGTACAAAAACACCTTTGGACATAGACAGAAAAAGCAGACCTGAAGAGAACCACCATGCTGTCCCAATTAGTTCTGCCTGAAAAAAGAACAATTTCTCATAATTTTTCTTTTGTGTGTGTAGTTATGGTTCTTTAAGTCAAAATGTTCTTAATGCAACTTCTTGATTGATTTACTGGACATATCTGCTCCAGCCTTTTCTCACAGCCATGCTCGTTATTGGCTGAGTAACTATATGTAACACAAATGCTAAGTGAGGAGGCAACGTGTTTTTCTTCGCCTTACTTCTGCTTTGGAGAATATGTTTATTCACACAATTACTTTTCTTTGTAATAGGTGCATAATGAACATAGAAATAGCTTCTCATTTTGCATGAGTAACAGTCTTAGGCACAATTTATTTATTTTATCATCTTTATGATGTATTTTGAATAAAACATTTGGTAAATCTGGCTCCTGTTTACTGAATATTTCAGATGAATAGATACTTTGCCATTTGAAGAGGTTATCTTCCTAATGGTAAAACATGGGTTATTAGGATTGGAGAGGTTGATTAGTGGTGAAGAGCACTTGCTGCTCTTGTGGAAGACTCAGTTTCAGTACCCAACACCCACATGTCATCTTACAACCATCTAACTCCAGTTCCAGTAATTCAGTGCTCTCTTCTGGCCGCCATGCTACACATGTATACATGCAGCCAAAACACTCATACACATAAAATAAAAAATATGTAAATCTTTAAAAATAAAACACAGGTTGTCTTTGATTTTCAAGGGTGTAACTCAAATGCTAGAATTTGTATTCATAGCCAAGGATGTCAAAGCAGGTCTGAAAGGCAAAAATTGTTATAGATTTAGCTCCTCCCCAACAGGATCACCATAGGCTTCTTCCATTTATTTCTCACGTGAACTCCAGGCCTCATACATGATGAATAAGTGCTTAATCATGGACCATCTCCAGCTGCCGCTGTGAACTCTTAAGGAGGAACCCCTAACATTATGACAAGATTACCCTCACAGTGTAACTTTATCTGTATGAGAAATCCATAAGTAGTAAAGCAATAGTCTCAGTGCTCAAGTCATGAAGCAGCAGTAACACCCATTTCCCATCCATCTCATTGCATTTTAAAATTGGTTCTCCCAGGCTCACAAAAGGCTGCCTGGAAGGATAATGGGGTCTTGAGCATTTATACATTTGGAGAGTTTGAACTGGCTTCTACACCACCAGATTTTCTTCCAGTGGATGAGCCAAACTTCCTTTTGAGTGAAGCCATCAGATGATCCATTCAGAAAGCCTGTCTTCTTCTTCCCATAAAATGGAATGATGTTAATCACATAAGATGTTCAGTGCCTTTGCTCAGCATGAGAAATTGCTTCGTGACTCTGTTCTTCATTGGTAGAATTGTGTTGCTGTGAGCCACATGGCAGCAAGTAAAGGAATAAAAATATGGGTTAATTTAAATTGTAAGAGCTCAATAGTAACAAGCCTAAGCTATTGGCTGAGCATTTATAAGTCTCTGTGTGGTTGTTTGTGAGCTGGCTGGTGGGACAGAGCTGACTGATGGTCCTGATGGAAAAACTCCACCTATATTGTGAAATTGCCCAAACTGAAATTATTACTCTATTGTTAAAAAGACTGCTTAGTTTCAGTGTATGAGGTTGTTTTCATTTATTTGCAAGCTTTTTGTAATAAAGTGTATTAAAAAACAATAAAGAAGATGAGATGGTAGAATTATATGAGAAAACATAGTTTGGTTCTGAGAATGAATGCTTGTTCTCATAGTTTTCTTATACTCACTAGAATTCCTTACATTGAATATGATATGGTCTTATTTGACAGAAAGTTTACAAAGAAGATTTTGAGAAGGAGATTAAAGGGAGGTCCTCACTGGATTTAGACAAGACTCCTGCATTTCTACATGTGAAGTACATCACCAACCTGATGAGGGAGGTATGGCTTTGTGCGTTTATATTACATGTCACAAAAGAGGAAACCTGGGGAAGTGAATCCAGAAACATCTACTTAGCAGTTCTCTACTAATTGCATATTTGTGATGTGAACTCTTTTTTTCTGGCCTTTACTAACAGAGCCTTGCATTTTCTTAACACAGGGATGTGTAAGTTAGTATGTCTACTTACTTTTGAAGAAAGAAATTGTCCAGATTTTCTGGAAAAACTTGAAAATTATTCTATTTTTGCATTGTGATTCTAGCTCAGAAGCTTTGTGGGTAGTGAGTTTTATAGCTTCATAGCAGCCAGTTTTTAGAAAAAATATTAAGTAAAAGCTTGATTCTCTGTCATAATCCATATATATTATTATATATGTGGAATTATATATAATTTTTATATTACATAAACTGTAACATATATTTATAGTATATATAATATAATATACATGGAATTACACACAAACACACACGCATAATTTTTTTTATTTAGGGAAATGTGAATGTATGAGGTGCCCCACTACCACAGATTATGCAGCTGAGTTTTCTACATTTGGGGGAATTTCAGGGATTAGCACATTAGTGCATAGGGTAAGCATTGTCCTGAGGAACCCAGTTTCTATTTCTTCTCCTGTTTTTTCCTGTTTGTTTGTTTGTTTTTGTTGTTGTTGTTTTCTGAGACAAGTTTTCTCTGTGTCACAGCTGCTCTGGCTGTCCTGTAACTAACTTTTTAGATCACACTGGCCTTGAACTCACAGAGATCTGCCTGCCTCTGCCTTCCTGAGTGTTGGGATTAAAGGAATTTGCTACCATGCCCGGCTCAGAAAACCAATTTTTTGAAAACTTGATTCTCTTAAATTTAGTTATCATAAAACATATTTTACAACCAGTTTTAATTTAAAAAAATTTTAATCTTAGCTTTTAATTATGTGTTCTCCCATGGCTGTGTACATGAGTGCAGTGTCTGTAGAGGCCAGAAGAGGGCTTCAGGTCGCCTGGAACTGAAGGTTTGATACACCCAAACTGAGAACCTGAGTCAGAATCTCTGGAAGAACAATTCATGCTCTTAACTCCCGAGCCAGTTCTCCAGCTCTTTGGGTAGTTTTTCTGCAGCATCATGACATTTAATATCAGAAATGAGGGACTCACTTGGGAAAGTCTGAATAGAGGATTTATTCAAAAGCTCTCTCTCTTCTATGTGGGGAAAATTACAGTTAGCACACAGCACAGAAGAACTCATTGCTGTGTTTAGCTTTTATCTTCTTTCAACTTTTCTTGAAATCTTAATTAAAATTTGGCTTAAAATTAAGATATTAAATTTGTTGAATATTAAATTTCTTAACTTTAATAAATCAAGACATTCTTGTACATCAACACTTTAAAAAATTAATCCATTTCCTCCAAGTGGCTCAAAGCTAACTGAGAGCTCTTCTAATTCTACTATGATATGCTCATCTAAATGATTATATGTTAATGCAATCTAGAATGTAATGTATAAGTAGAATACAAAAAGAAAAGTGAAGTCCCATCTTATTCTAAATTTTTGAATCAAAGAAATGATTCCTCTAGAAGAAATGTCTTAAGCCAGTGGAATAAATTGAAGCATGATTTCCAGTTGGAGGCATCTCGTTGTCAACTTTTAATAAGCAAATGATAGCTGGCCTTTGCCATTAAAGTGGCATCAGAAATTACTGAGATTCTTTAGAATAGCCATAAAACATCTGTAGGGATTCGCTTGTACTTTTTTTTTTGTCACTTCTTATTCTTGTAAATTTTCTAGAAACTGAGAACAAATAAATGAGAGTGTCCTGTTACTGCTCTACATTTTGAAACTATACTCTTTGTATGCATATTAAAGCTGGATCTTCCAATCATTTGCATACAGATGACAAAGTGAGATTAGTCCTTTCCTTCTCTTCTTTTCTTCTTTCTTAATGGGGAAAAATATTGCCCTAATTCTTTCAAAGGAAGTATGCGGAACAATAATGCTGTAACTAAAACATAGCAAGATTCAGTTGATAACATTTTGGACTTAGGGGTCTGAATGTCTGAACTGGGCAGGAAAAGGCCCAGAAAACTATTCACTGGGTTGAGCAGCTTGGGATTATTGTAACAAAATATGGTAGACTGAATGGTTTCAAGTTAGACATTTCTCCTGACTCTGAAAACCAAGCCCCAAATCAAGGTGCTGGTGGATTTGGCTCTGGGTAAGAGTCCTGTTCTTGCTTGCTGATGGCTTTCTGACTGTTGTCACTACAGCAGAGGAACAAGGGAACTCTGGCCTCTTTTTCTATGGAACCTTTAATCTCATCATAGGGCCTACCCTGTAACATCATTGGAACCTAACTACTTCCCAAAGAAGTTAGGGCTTCAACACAAGTATGTCGTTCATAACGGCTGATCTTTCACTTAGTTACATAGAGATAGCTAATGGAAAAAGCCACTTGGATACTTAATACAATTATACATTTCTGCATATAAGCCCTTAATTGTAAATGTATTCTATGCTCTGTTCTTTATGATTTTATATTGCCATGTAGAGTCTCCTAATTATCACTTTTTAGTCTCAAATGTATGTTTTATGTAAGGCCTTTGGCTGCTCCAATATTTTGCCTGCTTTTCCTCCATCGCCCTTTGGCATTAACAGGACATTGATTTTATTTCCTTTTGTCCAGATGGAAATGGAGACTGAGTTACTCAAAGGGCCTCCTAAAGGTCACATGACCGAATTAGCAGAAAGTCTGACTTTTATCAAGGTCATTTGACGAGGGTTATTTCCAAAATCACAGGCAGGCTTGACAAAGCCCTCTAAAGCTATTGTTTAATCAGCAATCAAGCTAATTTAATGATTTAGGATGGGGGGGGGAGCATGTGCCATGACAGGAACCCCAGAATTAACTGCAACCTGATTTCTTATCATTAAAGGGATTTATTTTTATTTAGCAAAATATTCATAAAATGAAACTTTGTTTGATGGAATAAGATATTATTTTATAATGGAAGTAAATAAGGAAACAAGAAACTTGTCAATAGAGAATAATTTATATACAAGAGTATGTAAAACAGCTGTGACTACTTGGGATGTAGCTCAGTTGGCAGAGTGCTTGTCTAGCATGCACAAAGCCCTGGGTTCCATCCCAGCACCACATAAAATGGGTGTGGTAGTCTATACCTATAATCCCAGCATTCAGAAGGTAGGGGAGAAAGATCAGAACTTCAAGGTCATATTTGTCTATGTGGAGATTTCTAGGCCAACCTGGGCTGTATGAGATTCTACCTAAAAAAAAAAAATTGAAAACAGTGATATTAAGACAGACATTCAAAATCTATGTTAACAATTTTCAGGAAACTATTTGGTATTTTGTTTAAACAATTCTTTGAATAAAACACAAACTTAAAAATACCTCTGGCTACCTCAACCTTTGGCTTTGTAATTCTTTTCCAGTAAGTTCTTTTAGAAATTCACATTAAATAGATATTTCCAAAATCACTTCAAATAAAGAAGCCTATTTATTCTTAAGATTTTTCTCTGACACTTAAAGGGAAGATATCTTTTTAAAGAAGTTCAGGATGATGCCAAAAGATATTGGGAGAAAGGACGAAGCACTGGTAAAAGTGGATGCCACTTTGAGTTTGATAGAGGAGAAAATTAAACGTCAATGGGAAAAGGCAAGAATGCTCAGCATCTAATTTTTTCCTTCCTGACAATATTTTCTCCTGTCTGCGGTCTCTAGAAGACATGTAAACTGGCATATGAGTTAAAGTAATTGCAGAGATAGCTTCAAATGAAATATTCTATTCTTGTCTTATAGAAAGAATATAAAAAAGACTTGGAAAATGAAATAAAAGGGAAAGGAATGGAACTTAGTTCAGAAGTCCTTGATATTCAGAGAGCAAAGCGAGCATCTGAAATGGCCAGCGAGGTGAGTGTTTTTTTTTTTTTTTTTTTTTTTTTAAGCAGCTCAGAATGAGAACATTTTCAGCTTCTTTCCCTACCGATACAGTTTTCTCAAAGGTTCTATATGGCACAACTTATATGTGTAGATGATAATAAACAGCCATGTCATAGTAAGGCTTTCTCCAGGAAGCATTAAAGGTAATTTCATCCTCACAATCTTTCTATAGGCAGTGGGTGCAGAAAATGGTCCTTTTAGAGAAATATGTGTCATAGGCAAAATAGTCCTATGAGATTTGACCTGGTTATTTAAAAGCAAGTAAAGGTACACATGCGATGGGTGTGGCCTCATGTCCTGGCAGCAGCGGCAACTGAACGGCTTGTGCTGTCTTGCTCTTTAAGCAATACACATTTCTAATCTTCAACTGGTTGCTAAAGAGTTAAACCTCTGTATGGAGTGAAAGTAGTTGCTTCTCATTTCATACGAACTTTGTAAGAAGAAATGAAATGTCCAGGAAGTAGTTTCAGTCTCCTATTCCTTATATTATTATGACTTTGGTATCACATCGTGGCTTTGTGAGACTCTTTGTAGTTAGAAAGTTTCACATCAACTCGAGAATCTTACTTCAGGCACCTGGCACACACATGGCCTCTGGCACCTGGTTAGAGACCTGGCCTCTTCTGCTTTGGCCCCACCCACTCTGACCTAAGAACTATGCTACAGGTACCTGACCATACTGGCCAGGACCAACACCTGGTAAGAAACCCAGCTTCTCCTGCTTCAGGACTGTCTACTCTGATTCAATTCCCCAATCAAAGGCCTGAGACGAAGCCACTGAATTAGAAAATAGTGTCTACCTTTTTCTTGTCTACAAGAAATAAACATTACTTTTTGACTAGACATTACCTTAGAGTGAAAGGTAGGAAAAAATAATCTAAGCAAATGGGAGCAGGAAACAAGTAGGCATAGCTGTTCTGAATTAACACAAAGGACTTCAAACTAAAACAAATCGAAGAGACAAAGAAGACCACTTCATTCCAATCCACCAAGAGGACTTATGATTCTAACACAAGTCCACCAAAGTTGGCTGCACCCAGTTTCATAAAACAAACACACTAGGCATTAAGTCACAGATTAACCCCAACATAGTTACAGTAGTGACTTCAAGATCGACTTTCACCAATGGTCAGAATATAATCAGAGAAACAGTGGAGCTAAATGGCATCATAGGCCAAATGAACCTGATAGATATTTACAGAGAATTCTACACAAACACTGCAGAATACACATTTTTTTTGGTCAGTATGCCACAGAAGTTTCTCTAAAAAAGACAATATATTAGTACACAGAGCAAATTTAAGAAAATTGAGATAACTTCATACATTCAATCTGACTGCAATCAAGTAAATCATTGTTAATAAAAATAACAAAAAATAAATAACAGAGAAACACCAGAAGATGTACAAACTCATGGGGATGAAGCTACTCAATTGTCAAGTATTTGAACTTTTGAGGAAATTAAGAAAGAAATAGAAAACGTCTTGGAATTAAATAAAAATGAAAACATAACTTACTAAAATCTCTGGGATAAAATGAAAAAAAGTCTTAAAAGGAAATGTATTGCTCTGAGTGCTTACATTAAAAATGAGATGGACTTCAAACAGATAATTTAATAATGCACTCAAAAGGTTTGGAAAAACAAGAACAACCCAAACTGAAAGAAGTAGATGGGAAAAATAATTGAAACCAGGGCAGAAATTAAAGAACTGGAGACAAATATGCAAACAAGACAATATGAAGAACCAACGACATGAGAAGTTGGTTCTTTGAAAAGATAAATGAGATTGACAAACCCTCGCCACATTAACTAAGAGAAAGGGAAGATCCAAATTAATAAAATTAGAGATGATAGGGAGACATCACAACAAACTGAACATAGGCACACATGAAAAATATCGTTCACCATGACCACATTAGCTTTATCCCAAAGATGCAGGAATGGTTTAACATATGCAAATTGATAAATGCAATAAAACTTGTAAATGGACTTAAAGACGAAATATACGATCATCTTAGTAGACAGAGAAAATTCTTTTTGACAAAGTGTAACATCCCTTCATAATAAAAAGCCCCGGAGACAACAGGATTAGAGAGAACATACCTCAACATAACAAAGGCTGCTATGTATGTCAAACCCATAGCATTTTTGCTAAATGGAGAAAACTTCAAAACAATTCCATTAAAATTAGAAACAAGACAGAGCTGGCCACTATCTCCTGTCCAGTTCAATACAGTGCTTGAAGTTTGGCTAGAGCAATAAGATAAGAGCAGGAAATAAAAGGGATGAACATAGATAAAGAAGTCAAAATGTTCCTGATGGCATTCTTCACAGTAATTGATAAAACAGTCTTGAAATTCATATGGAAACAGGGAAGACTGCTAGTAGTCTGAGCAGTCTTCTTTAGTTGTGATAATGTGGCCAGTCTACATTGAGGGTCAACCTTATTATTGCTTGTCAATTATATCTGGAGAGTTTACTTTAAACTTAAAATGGTAGGGTCCAGTTGAGAATTGAGTGGTAAGATGGTAGTAGGAATAGCAACAAAACAGGCTTTGTTTAAAAAAAAAAAAAAGGACTGGAGTGGCCATTTAGAGACAGAGACTAGAGAAAGCCAACTTTCTATTCCTAAGTCCCACTAATGACGGGTTCTGTGTTTGCTGCCTCATTTTCCTCACTGTGGATCTCCTGTGGGGCAATGCTTACCCTTATTTCACAGACAAGAAGGAATTATAGGGATCATCTGTAGCATTTATGGCTGAGCTTCTGAGTGCTCTGGCCTCATTCTCAGTCTTCTCCCTATAGCATCAACCCATCTGCATCCCTTTGTCTGTCTCCCAGAGTCCAGGACAGTACTCCATGAAGATTATCACTCAACAGTTGCCCTATTAATAGTGTAAGAACATCTCCGGTGAGAACAGTGGTTCTAATTATGTATGCTCCCCAAATTACTTAGTTTTGTGTGATCATGCGTAGTAGTAAACATTCCATTCTCTTGGACATTGGTTATATACCTCTTTTCTTAAGTGTGTGTGTGTTGTGTCCATTCATGTATACGTGTTTGCACAGGTATGTGATATGTGGCCAAAGGTTGATATTGAGCGTCTTTCATGATTGTTCTCTACTTTATTAACTGGGGGGTCTCTGCTGAACCCAGAGCTTTCTGATTTGTCTAGTCTAGTCTATGTGGCTTCTGAGGGATCTAAACTCTAATCTTAATGCTTGTATAGTAAGTACTTTATTCACTGAGCCATCTCACAGCACTCTTTTGGTCTTTTAAAAATGCTTAGTTTTTTTTTTTAATCATTAACTACAAATATATGTTGTCTACAGAGTGACTAAATTGTGCTGAACATTGCTTTTATAGAAAGAATACAAAAAGGACCTGGAGTCAGAAATTAAAGGGAAGGGAATGCAAATTGACACCAATACACTTGAAATACAACGTGCCAAGAAAGCTGCCAAGATAGCCAGTGAGGTGAGTGGGGAGGGTCAGACAGACTTCGAAACTCCTATTTTTGTACTCAACAGATCATATCAGCAGCTAGAGTAGTGCATGGAATCTCTCAAAGCTTTGTGGACTGGTTTGACAGTTTGGAATGGAAATCATGTCAAATCATGATGTTGATTTGAAAATGTATAGTTTCCACTTTGTCTGTACACTTTAAATACATCAAAGGAAGCTTAAAAAGAGAAATTTTCATAGAATACACACAGATACATGCACACCCTGACATATTTTATTCCTGCATCACAACACATTTAATGTTAGTCTAGGGTATGATAAATACTTTTGTAGTGCGTTTTCTATAGTATAGTTCATATTCTGCTTAGCATATTTGTGTTTCCAATGTTTTGAGGAAAACATAGAAACCACATGTTGAGACTTTAATGTGAGTATACAATCTTTGTTTCTATGTGATTGTGTGTTTAGAAGACATCCTTTGTTCATTTTATATCTGCACTTGAGATTTCTAGATTCAGCTTTTGGATTAAGAGATGATATGTCTTGAATGACCATGTGCATTCATTCAGTGCCACTTTCTCTTCATGCAATACATATGAAGATGTGAGCATAACAAAACTGTAGGGGTCAGACCATATGTACATTTTCTAGGGAGATATCCGGGATTGTGTTCCATGATTCCTGAATCTCCTCAGTGATTCTGAGAGTAAAAACAAGTCACTTGAATTTGACAGTGTTTAGGATAAGGCAGTTATATAAGAGTAATTTAGAAAGCAGGGGTACAGATTATGGAGGGTGACTTGCTTATCTCAAGGTTTGGTAGTGACTCTTCACTAGGGCTGCTCTGAGAGCTACCATGACTCTCACAGCATAATTGGTCATTTTCAGAAGTTTGTTGTAGACTTTCAGATCTGTATGTATGATATATAGACAAACATGATCTTGTATATACAGAGACTTAAGTAAACTTTAAATGTAGTTATGCTGTATAATTTCCTTTCTTTCGTTTTCATTTACTGTTGTGGATTCTTTTTCATTACTTCATATAGTTGCCTAAATCTTTTAGAAAAATTATGTGTTTCATAATGTGGATGTGGATATGAAGCCACTGAAATTACTGTTGTCCATGTGTGTAAGATCTCAACATGTTATGCCAAGAACTCTTAATTTCTCCCCTGCCTCTTATCTCTTCTGCCTCTTCAAATGGTATCAGACAAGCCTTAGATGTCACCTTGATTCCACTCATCAATTACACCTTGTGACACTATTGTAAATCCATTTACATTTTCCTGCCCCAGACTAAGGTACCATATCCATTCTCAGAACTGATGCTGTCATGGGAGAGCTATGTCAGAAACACAGACAGACATACTTGTGTCTTTCTACAATGTCAGCATATATTGAATAACACCAAAATTCGTAAGGTTTAGCAGTTTTAATGACATTAATTTGTAATAAAACCCACCCACCTTGGTAGCATGGACAAAGTAAATGAAAGTTCTTTATTCTAATTAATTACTGTTCTGTCTTAATTACTGTTAACTCTTATACATCACACACACACACACACACACACACACACACATGCATATACCCATATATACATACACACACACACACATATACTTGGTTACAGAATGAATATAAGTAAAAGCAGAATTCAAAGTTCAAGAGGTTTTAGAAGTGGACTAAAAAATGTCTATGTAGATAAAAAATGAACCAGATCAGTGTGGAGAAGGAGCTGCTGGTGGAGTTGAAACCAGATTTGAGAACAAAGCTGTAGAAACCAGAGGTGTAAAGACAAAACTGGATCCCAAGTGGAAAATGGGTCAGGAGCAGGGAACAGATGGGCTTCATGGAACAGACCTGGTCAGGTACAGATCGAGAAGGTATGAACAGGATGATGAGTAAGCAGTTGGGTAGCTGTTTCAAACAGTGGGGGGACTGAGCCAGGTCAGGGAATCCTTGATCTTCGATCATCGACACACATCAGGTAGGAAATTATAGGCTTTCTGGGGCCATTCCACCACAGTGTTAGTTATCCATCATTTATGAAGGCCAGGTGAGAGCATTACACTTTTGCTCAATGTGGTGTGCTCCATAAATTCTTGAGTTTCCCTGGTATAATTTTAGCACACACATGTGCCTCCAATTTAAATTCTTCCTAATAAACTCGTAGGCTGGCTCCCTTTTTAGCCTCAGGAATGAGCCATTAATCAGTGTGTGCTAGAGGAGTGATGTCTGATAGATGGTGTGTTTTGGAGTCCACCAGGGGGCCACAGTTATGGAATGTGAAGGCAAGGCAGAGCCCAAAAAGCCAGTGTTATATGATATGGAGTGGCTTAGAGTAGGGCACAGCATGATTTCAACAGTTTTAGTGAATTTATGCCCAAATTCTACCTCAGTTCTCTCTCTCTCTCTCTCTCTCTCTCTCTCTCTCTCTCTCTCTCTCTCACTGTTTTTTTCGAGACAGGGTTTTTCTGTGTAGTTTTGGTGCCTGTTCTGGATCTCGCTCTATAGACCAGGCTGGTCTCGAACTCACAGAGATCCGCCTGGCTCTGCCTCCTGAGTGCTGGGATTAAAGGTGTGCGCCACCACCACCTCTCCAGTTCTTGCTCTATTAATGTGCATTTTCTTTTCATCACAACAGCCATACTTTTATGAATTTTTCTTATTCTTATTTAGAGGGTGCATCCAGTATTAGTTCAATTTAGCAGACTAGAATGTATTACAATGGGCGTGGGATTCAGGGCTAGAAAAAGGAGCTTATGAAATTATTATCATTAGAATGGCTGTTGGAGCCAACTGAAAGCATCCCTCTGGAGCAAGGACTGTGGAGTAAGTAGAAACTATGAATTTCACCTTCTGCCTAGTAGCAGGCTCCTGAGACATATAAGCCTTTTTTTTTTTCTTTTTTTTTTAGTAGATTGGGATTTTAATCATTCATTTTTGTATACTAGTTGAGATTTTTCTGTTTTTTTTTTTGTTTTTTTTTTATATGTGTTAGGATAACAGTGTGAATTTAGTTAGTGACAACTGAAGAGAAAATAGTCTTAGGATAGTTAGCTGTGTTCCCCATGGCCCAAGGAGATTTTGGAGATGCTGAGATGCTGTTTTTTTTTTTTTTTTTTTTTTTTTTTTTCCGAGACAGGGTTTCTCTGTGTAGCTTTGCACCTTTCCTGAAACTCACTTGGTAGCCCAGACTGGCCTTGAACTCAGAGACCTGCCTGGCTCTGCCTCCTGAGTGCTGGGATTTAAGGTGTGCGCCACCACCATCTGGCAGAGATGCTGTTATTGTTGTACTCTTTGTGGCTCATTTGTACATAATCTTAGTTACTCATGTTCCATCTTGCCAAATTGACAGGCTCTCAAATCCTTTGCAACTAAAGTTTGGGATTTTGCTATTGATTTTTAATATCCAAAGTGGAGTTTAAAAATAGTGTCAATGTGATATATTGTTGGGCCAGTATCCTCCAGTAGTCAAACTTGTACCATTTCTGTGGGCTCTCTATAGCCAATAAGACATCAGCAAAGTGGACTCAGTCAGAGGCTCTCAGGACACTTGTGTGTTTGGGTTTGTTCTCTTGGAATGAAGCTGTTATATGCTGTTTTAAGCCTTCCAGATTTGGAGGTGTTTTGTTCAAACAATGATGAAGTTGCCTAGTGATACCTTTTACAGAATGTGTCTGGTCATTTTGAAAGGTTTTGCATTGCTTAAGGATGATAGGGTTCAATTTCCCTTCCTGATTCAGTTCCCAGACAGGGTGAATCTATTGTCATTCATATCCAGGAAGAAAAAGAAAGGTTCTTCTGATATACTTCATCGTAAAGGAAGGGCATTCATCCCTTAACTAACCACATAGAACCAAGGACGGGGTAGAATGATTTAAGTTCCATAGGGTCCAGAGACTTGGGCCAATATTACATAAACCCAGGGATTTAGAATGGAAGTATAATAAGTTGCAACCATCGAGAATAGCAACAATTTTATAGTCACTTTATTGATAGTTATCAACTGAATTATATAGTCACCAATAAAATTTCAAGTTTATCATTGGAATATAAGTTTTCCCAATCTAGTTCTGTACTTAATTCAGCTTAGTAGACAAAGCCTCCTGGTTATATATGAATATGTTACTGCACATCATACTTCTATCTTGGTATATAGAAATAAAAGAATAGGTCTAACCCAATTCCAGAACATACAGTCTTGATGTCAAAATGACATCATGTTTTTTCAGCACCATTTTGAAATGATTGCAGAGCATTGTGCATTTTATTTTCTACAGAAAGATTATAAAAGAGATCTGGAGACAGAAATTAAAGGAAAAGGAATGCAGGTCACTGCAGACACTCTAGATGTTCGGAGAGCTAAGAGGGCTTCGGAGATGGCCAGCCAGGTAAGGAAGGTGTGAACACAAAGTCTCAAATGAAGGTCCTGGAGGAGGGTGAATGTCACTTTTCTGTTAAAACACATAAATAGCAATATGGTCCTGGAAAGTTAAGCAAAGAGCTGAGATTATTTTCTATTCTTCTAGAAGCAATATAGGAAAGACTTAGAGAATGAAATTAAGGGAAAAGGAATGCAGGTGAATATGGATATCCCAGATATGCTTCGAGCCAAGAGGGCATCTGAAATCTACAGCCAGATTGGTAGAGGATGAAGATGCTTACAGTAATGTATGCTAATCCCATCACGGTGTGCTTCCTGAGTCTTTTTGATTGATACCTTCCTGGAGACATTACCTTCAAACTTAGAGCATTTTTATTAAGACCTTCCCTACCAAACTTGACTAACATTACTAACTAGAAGGACAATGGCTACAGTACTAATTTAGGAGCCATTATGAAGTGCCAAATTCCCACATGATCCTCCTTCTTTGAAGCCAAGAATGTTTTGCCCTTATTTTTATTTTTAACTCTATTATGTACTTGCCTTGAATAATTTTTGTTCATACGATAGAAACGTAATTCTAAAAATCTTGTATTTCCATTTCACAATGACTAATATTTTAAATAACCTTCAATAAAACAAAGTAGTAAAAGTTATATTGTACTGATAATTAGTGTTAGCTAAAAAATTAGGAGAAGACTAAGTTGTCTTAGTAAAACTTATTTGCGAAATATATCCGTCACATATTCTTCAAAAACTTAAAAAGCTGGTAGTGAATAAGTGCATTAATATTCTTTAATAAGAATGAATGTTACATCTCTCACATGAAGAACCTGGATTTAAACACACACACACACACACACACACACACACACACACACACACACACACACACACACACACGGGTGGGGACTGAAAGGAGGCTATGTGTAGGGGAAGGAACTGCTGGAAAGGGGGAAGAGGAACCCAGTGAGTAGTAATGGGAAAGGAAAGACATATACTGAGAAAGATTACATCTCAAAAGAAAATATTCATAGAACAAGTTGCTTATAAAACCTGATTTGGATAAAAAAATGCATTATTTAATCATATCTTTGCTGTAAAATTTACCTGAAAAGTACATCTCAGTAGTGATAAAGGAGAATGAAAAGCATGAAATTGTTCTAGAAGCAACAAGTTAGATTTGACTAATGGAATTTATGATGAAAATAGTTTTGGCTCAAATTGGACACCTTTGCTCAAATTCTGGATAAAGCAAATCACTAAGTGTCAAAATTGGTTGGTTCAAGGTGGGGGTGTTAAGATGGTGGAGCAGAAATGGGGGAGCACCTGTCTGCTCCTCAGTCACTTGGGACTGGGCAGCAGTTAGAATAGTCTTAAGGTCACGGTGTTCCGTCCCTCGTGACTCATGCTGCACGAAGGCAATGAACTTGGAGACACTGACTGTATCCACGTGAAGTGAGTGCAAGTCTTAGGCAAGTCCATGAAACAGGCAAATGGACGCATGAGCCAGTGAGGAAGAAGGATGCAGTGACAGCTGCCTTTCATCACGTTGCTTAGCAAGTGACTCTGTGCCATTTGGTTAGCCACACTAACTAGAGTGCCTGAGTTGAGTCTCACTTCCCATGCTTACTAGCTGGTGCCTCAGTTTCCCCAGTTGACAGTGATATCTGTTTGTGGGATTGACTGAATGCGTGAATGTGTGTTGGGTATTGAAACAATGTCAATTACATCAGGTTTTATTAAAGGAGTGTACAGTAGCTCATTTACTGGGGAGGAACTTGAGATGTTTAATAACTTTAACTACAAAAGTCATAGCATGTTTTCCTTAGCCACACAGACCTTTATCAAAGGCAATAAACAAAGCTTGTAACAAGGTAGATGTAGAAAGTGGGGCCACCGCAGGAGTGCTGGAGGTACTGGGGCAGAGACTGAGTTCACTTGCACATAGAAGAGGGGGTCCCAAGTTTAGGAGAGATGTAGAAGTCCATCTCTCTGAGGTTTCTGAATGGTCTGGGGTGAGTATGATAGCCAGCATAGCAGTGGGATGCTGTGACAGGTGATGTACTCACATCCTCCATCTTAGTGGTGGTGGCAGCAGCTACTTTGAATCTTCAGTTGTAAATTATAGTCATGTGGTAGGATAAAGCTGGATGTGGTACCATATCCCCTCCTCCCTCCACATAGAGATTTCAATTTATAATAATTTTTTATTTTTAGAAAAAGTATAAAGATGAAGCTGAGAAAATGCTTTCTAACTATTCCACTGTGGCAGACACTCCCGAAATTCAGCGAATCAAGATGACGCAACAAAACATTAGCAATGTGAGTAGCTGCTGGACGAAGAGTTTGGGGCTAGACGAGTTTCAGGTTTTGTTTGGACTTTGGAATGTTTGCATGTGTATAATAAGTTATAGTGGGGATAAGATGTGGGTCTAAACATAAAAGTCATTTGTGCTTCATATACCCTTTATAGGCATAGCCTGAGATAATTCCGTGTGTTATTTTTAGTGCACTTGGGCTGTGCCTGAAACACATCACAGGAGCCAGGTGTGGAGCTTTCCACTTGTTGGCTCTCAGAAAGTTCAAATTTCAGATATTTTGGTTAGGGATGCCTACTTTTTAAAAAAAAAAAAAGATTTATTTATTCATTATGTATTCAATGTTCTGCCTGTGTGCCAGAAGAGGTCCCATTATAGATGGCTGTGGGCTACTATGTGGTTGCTGGGAGTTGAACTCAGGACCTCTGGAAGAGGAGCCAGTGCTCTCAACATCGGGACCTCCAGTCCGAGGGATACCCAATCAGTATTTCTTTTACAGTTAGAATTAATTGTTTGCTTGTTTACTCTTGTAGTTCTGGGGATTATATCCAGGACCTTGTTTATGTTAGGTAAATGTGCTACTACTGAGATATATCCCAACAACACCCCCTCCACTTCTAAAATGTTATATTTTATAATGATGTCTTTACTCTCACTATCTGATTTTTTCTCAGATGAATTTATTTCTTCAAAAATAAAAATATTATTCTCACAAATCCCAATTTTTGGAATTCTGAATCCAAATTTTGTGTTGGGCACAAAAGATAGGTGTTAACTGGATTTTTAGCTTGATAAAAGTGTTATCTTCCACCTTAATTTTACTGTGAAGATGAAAGTAGTCATATTAAGGGACTTTCCTCCAGATTTTCACTGAATCTATGTAAACAACATACCTAGAGACTTCCTAGTTTAAAACCGATTCATAAACTTCCTGCTTTTATTTTGAGTAACAGGAGTTGCCTGTGTACAGTTAAGAAAGTAGGCCTCTGCTAATAGATAAATGTATAAACTTGAATTTTGTCATGGGATTTTCAAATACAATATGAAATACAGTCAAATACAATAATGTAGAATTGGCTCAGTCTTTTAGTACTGAAGTACATGTCTAATCAAAAGGGCAAATGCCATTAAGTTTGAGAACCTCTGGAATACTATCCATTTCCTAATTAATTGGCTGACTCTCACTTTCAGGACAGACCTACTGTCTGGTAAGTCTGGGATCTCCCTAAGAAGGGCCAGGCTGTGCCAAGAGATGGGAAATTCCCCCTGAAATGTCGGAGCAGGGCTCCTGACTCCTGGGACATTCCTGCTTTTCATCTCTTTCAGTTCAGGTCTTACATCACTCTTCCAGTCTCCTTGGTGCCCATTGGATTAGCCAGTGTTGGTAATGGGGATCTTTCTGTCCTCGTGTGACTTTCAAGGGCCACTGTTTTTCTGTGGGGAACTTTTGGTTTTGTTTTGCTTTGTGTTTGGAAGGGGTAAATGTCATGAGTGAAGAGATTTTCAACTCTCCATAACATTCAAGAGGTTATGAGATCAGAAACCAAAGTTGGGGAAGTTGAGGAAAATACAAGAGTCAAGGCTTGCCGGGCGTGGTGGCGCACGCCTTTAATCCCAGCACTCGGGAGGCAGAGGCAGGCGGATCTCTGTGAGTTCGAGGCCAGCCTGGGCTACCAAGTGAGTTCCAGGAAAGGCGCAAAGCTACACAGAGAAACCCTGTCTCGAAAAAACCAAAAAAAAAAAAAAAAAAAGAGTCAAGGCTGATACTGGTGATAGAATATTTTCTTAGGAGACCATAAGGGACTTTTGTATTTGGAAGATTAGCAGTGCTGTGAAACCTCCCTTGTTTGGGGCTAAATGCTAACTGCTGAGTGAATTTCTCTAACACATGCTTTGATTTTTCTCAGATACACATATGCCATATAATCTATATCTATAAAATCTCTATCTATCTATCTATCTATCTATCTATCTATCTATCTATCTATCTATCTATCATCTATCTATCTATATTGGTCTTTGGAGACAGGGTTTCTCTGTGTAGCCTTGGCTGACCTGCCATATGTTTATATTTAAAGCAGGAAACTATAGATTGCCAATTTATATTCTTAGGGCAAATAACCTGCTCCCAGCTAAGGTACTCATCATTCATTAGAACAAATATTAACTGGGCTAAGAGGTGATGAGATCAGAAACCAAAGTTGGCATTTATTATCACAATGGACTATTTCCTTGATTCATGTAATATTGCTACTCATAAATAAAACCAGTATTCACACTACTGTAAAACCTGAGAAATAGTCTTGCTTCGTAACAGGCAGACCTAGGACTTGAATTCCAATAACCTTATAGTTCTTATTCTCCTTTCCCCACTACGAAGGTGTCTTACAAGGAAGGTGTGGGGGCTGGCACAGCCCTAAGGAACACTCCAGAGATTGAACGAGTGAAGAAAACCCAGCACAATATCAGTTCAGTAAGTTCTCCACAGCACTAATTATTCTTTCCCAGAAACAAGGGCTGCATGCCTGTGTTTAGTTCTTTTCCCAGTAGGTTGCTTTTTATCTTTTATTCTTCCGCTATTCTGAAAGGTGATGTCATCAGCCATCAAAGGTCTAACTTCCAGAATGAAAACTGCAGCCTTGTTCTCCCCCATTCTGAGGCTCCATTTCATTTCATTTAGAGCAGAGCAATGAAGACATGGGCCATTTTAATAAAATCTAGGATTACGTTTCATCTTTTGGAACAGAATTTTAGCTGTGTTAAATTTTACAGAGAAAGGATACCTTGAACATTTTCCCAACTCTTGGAGCAAAGGAATTGTACCCCAATGAAATGAACAAAGGGCTCAGTATGTTTATTTGGTAGCTGAAGTGGTACAGATTTGTTTTTTAATGTAGCACTGACTCATTTCATCCTGTGTCAATCACATTTCTGAGCCTTTCCCAAACACAGCTCCGTGCCCATATTTCTATTTTCTGGCCTTATTTCCCCTCTACTTCCTCAGCAAAGAAAAACACATCAGTTGAGTATAAATTATAAAGAGATCTTACCCTATGGTGCTTTTGATTCTGGGGAAGCTCAGGATCAGTGTTTAATGCTACAGGAGAAATTTACTGCTTGGCATGAGCAACAATAATTCCTGTCCTTCCAGGAGGAGGGGTTCATCTGTGTGCATTTCATAGATTTAGTTTTTTGCCGTGGATGTAAAAATGATTCTTTCCTTAACGTTTGTTCCCTGATCCATCTCTTTACTTCTAGTCTCAGGGACACAACCTTCCAGAACATTCCTTTAAGTCATCCAATTAGAGCTGTTTTCATGACATATATTGGGGCTAACTCAGAGTTAGGTGGTATCCTGAGCATGTGACCAGGTGGTGGTTTCTTTTGGAAAAGGAATTCCAGGATGGACAAGGAGATGTGTACTTTAATGCAAAATTATAAAATTGTGCAGTCGTATCTTTGTGCCATGAAGGAAGCCCTGTCCTGAGGACAGCATCTTGAGAGAGGACCTGGAGGCTGAGGCCTGGATTAGAGTGAATGACATTTGGTCTGTTCAATGGGAATCTGAATCAGTTGCCACTTGAGTCTGGCAGAGAAGTTAGTTTGGGAAGGATGTGTAAAATGTTACATTCCTTCACTTTGCAATGACAATGTTTGAAATGCACCCAACAGTGTCATCAGCTACAAATGTTGTATAGTGTGTATGGTGTCTAGTCATTCCCCTACAGGGAAATGACTGTGTTATTTTTATTGTGTCCTGAAAAACAAAAAAAGTTCATTTTTAGTTGTGTTGGGCTTTTCACCCTAATAAAATCACATAAAACAGTACAGTATGTTGTCTTTTTCCCCCTAGTCTTTTCTAGCAAACAATAAATGCAGAGGAGTTCTGTGTCTCTGAGGTTGGGCCATGACCCCCTACTTAATATTCAAATGGAAACTTGGCCTTTCAAGATTAGCCCGATCTGTCAAACCAGGAGGTGATTGGCTAACCTTTAAACATCCCGACATTTTCCACCTCTGAGGACAAGCCTTTTTGCTATTAGCTCTCTGTGCTAAGATCTGTTTTTGAATTTCATTTAGAGGAAACCTGTCTCAGTGAACTTTCCATTTAACTATTTTGGGTCTGAGTTGAGACTGGCCTCTTTACTCATGTTAAATTCACAGATACTAAGACAGATGATATCTGAGACTTCGAGGGACTAGTGCTCTATGCCAGCCTAGATTTCAGCTTTAAGCATTACTGAGGGATTGCTAAAACCTATTTGTTGTAGATTTAAATCTTTGCTAAATTTGCTAAATTTCAGTGTGCATTTCCCATTCTTACATAGGTAGGTTCTCTTTGCTGAGAGTCTAGTGTTCTGTGAATTTTAGTTATAAAATGCCACCTGGAATGGAAGACATTGCTAGTTTGTTTTCTTGCCCCATGTATGATCATTTTTCCAATTTATTTTCCTCTAAATAGATCTACCTGAAGGGGAAATTCGTGAATGGAATGAATGTCAGGATGCAGGGTGTGTTAGTAACTTCTTTCCATGGTGTAACCAAACACCTGACAAGAAGCCACTTAAAGGAGGAAAGACCATGTTGGCTCATGGTTTAAGGGACTACAGTTCATCACAGTGGGAAACACTTGACTGTGGGCTACTGCATGGCAGGGGAGTGTTTACCTCTTGGTGCCTGACCAGGAAATCAGAACCAGGGTGCCTATAATTCTAGTCTGCAACTCCCAGCTGAACCAGTTACTCCCCACGTGTAAAGATTTCCCAGGCCCCCAGGATGATGCCGCTAGCTGGCAGAGGATGTGAAGACACAGGGGCCTCCTCCCTTTCTCTTTTACAGTAGCCACATTCCCTTTTTTTCTTGTTCTAGTCCACTACCTGTGTGCTCTCAGTCAGACCTCAATATTTGCAAGACTCTAATTCAAATTGATTTTTGCCTAATTCAATTTGATTTTTGCCTTTAAATTCAGGCTAAATTCTAATTAACACATTAATAAATAAAACTGCTTCTTAGAAAATAATAAATCATAATGTTAAGATAATTTCTAATACATTTTGTATATATGCTTAATTATAAAGCTTTTGGTCATAAGCAATGTTCATTTATATTAACCAAAGGATACCTATAGTGTTGGATAGATGTGAATTTATTGGCACTTCAGGATAATGAACCCGGAAAGCATGAGAAAATATAAGAAACTGTTTCTTACTGAAAAGAACATAATATTGGAACAAAAATTCAATTATACAGCAGTGACAATAGAAGAATTCTTCACTATTTTAAGCTTTGGGTAGAATAAATTAACCATATTTTAAAATAAATTATTCAGGTGAAATACAAAGGAGGAATTAAACATGCAGCAGCCATTTCAGATCCTCCCGAGCTAAAGAGAGCTAAAGAAAACCAGAAGAACATCAGCAATGTGATCATATTTCCTTAAGTGTTTTTTTTCCCTCTGTTATTGAAATACCATACATGATTGGGAGCACAGCACCTGCACAGTTGAAATCTCACTACAATGAATGCCACTATGTGGGGTCATTCCTTGGAAGTGGAGATAACATTCCATACTGCTTTGTGTCCTCCATTATGTGCTTTTTGGGCATTTTTTTTTTTTAGCTGAAAATCTCCTCTGTTTGTGCTCTCAGGAGAATTCAGCAAGTGAGACAAGACTACCAGGGCCTGTGGGTAGTCTCAAGGTCTCAAGAGGAATAGGGCATACTTTATTATTATGTATTGTCTTACGTACTGTCACAGTGATTTCTATTTGCTGACTAGTTACTGATTGTTTTTGAATATCTGACAAGCATTATCTTTTTTAACCATAAGCAATCATACTTCTTGCGAAGTGTTCTGGAAATGCAGAGGAGGAATAGTATGTCACGGGGGGGGGGGGGGGGGAGAGGAACAGTCTTGGAGAAGGAACAGCACTGGAGTCTTGTCTTAGAGATTCAAGAATGATTTCAGGTGGCTTTTGTGAGGAAGGGTCTTCTTGGTAGGGAAAACCAGTATTTTCAGGACCCAAGCCTCTTCACGGGGGAGGGGACTGAAGTGATGAGGACTTGGGATGGAGAGTGGCAGGAGGTGATGGTGGGACGGGAGCCGCAATGCCAAGCCTAAGACTGTAGTATGGAGAATCACTCCAGTGTGGCTCATAGGTCATTTAAGGATCTGTTAACAGCCCGAGGGTTGCTCAGTCTTTGATTTGGTGATTAAGTTGTTTTACTCAACAACTACTACTTCTCCTCCTCTTCCTTCTCCATCTTCCAAAAATGTGTTGTTAGTCTTCTATTTATGATAGAAACAAAACTCTGTAGTTGGTTGTTTTATTCTTTTGACTCTTTGGGGGCCTGTCACCCAGCTCCCAAATAAACAAACGGAATCTTATTCTTTCTTATGAATGCTTGGCCTTAGCTTGGCTTATTTCTAGCCAGCTTTTCTTAAATTATCCCATCTAACTCTTGCTTCTGGGCTTTTATCTTTCTCTATTCTATATACCTTTCTTTGCTTCTTACTCTGTGGTTTGCTGTGTAGCTGGGTGGCTGGCCCCTGGTGTCCTCTCTTTCTCTTCCTCTCACTCCTTAATCTTCTCTCTTTCTCTTCTATTTATCCTCCCTGCATGTCAGCCCCACCTATCTGCTCTCTTCTGCCTAACTATCAGCCATTCAGCTCTTTATGAGACCAATCAGGTGTTTTAGACAGGCAAACTAACACAGCTTCATAGAGTTAAACAAATACAGCATAAAAGAATGCTACACATCTTTGCATCATCAAACAAATGTTCCACAGTATAAACAAATGTAACACTTCTTCAGCTAATAGTCCATCACAATGCTCTCTTAACTTCACTTGAAAAATAAGTATATAATGGCATAAATGTCATAGAATTTACATGGTGTGTCATGCATGCCAGTGGCAGGATCCAGGATGATTAGTTAACACTGAAGTGGTGGAGAGGAACATGGACCTTAGAGTACTGATAGGTTTGATTCCAGCTGTGGACTTCATTTATTATATACGTTTATAGTTTTTCACCTATAAAATTTCCTTTCTTATAAAGCAGAGATTAGAGTATTAAAGAGATATTGCCTTTAAAGCACATGTCAAATTGATGAATAGGAGAATCAGGACAAGCGTCTCCCATTGAATTGATGTCTGGGGTTACATTCACTAGCAATTGTAGTTTCTCCCTATCAGCAAAGCAGCTCCACAAATCTTTAGTTCAAGCTCTATCACGAGTGATATTTCCACCAATAAAGATTACATGAAACATTTCTCATTGTAACTCTATCATTCCCATCCTGAGAACTTGCCCAAACTCTTACGTGCAACAGTGCGAAGAAATGTCGCTTCTTAGGGAGAGAGTATATCATAAGAAATCCAACCACTTCCATTTATTTTCCAGGATTCTCAATTTTTTTTTCATTTTTATATTCATTCATAAGAGCATGCATTTCAATAGCAAGGTCTGTAGAAGGCCCTAAGGCTGAATTTAAACTCTGACAATTCATTGACTGTCACTGTATAGCTCCTTGCAAAAGGATTTTCCTCTTCTAGCTTTACCTCAGCTGTCAGAATCTCTCAGCAGATATGCCATCCCTTTCTCTATGTCTGATGCTCCTTTATTTTGTGAGATGTTGTGGAATTGTTGGGATAGTTGACTGTGGATAGTGAAGTCATCTCCCTTTTCTGCCCTCAGCTAAGAAAGAAGATCTCTATGCAGTAGGTCAGGGCATCTTCTGTAGTGTTAGGTCAGATGCCAGGCCTTCCAACATTAGAACTTGATAAGGAGGGAAACTGAGGTTCCTGAGAGGAAGGTTAGTAGAGGCAGTATGTCACTGAAGTGCATGCATAGGACTTTTGTGACCTTTGTTCTCAATGCTTCCAGTGATGGCAAGAGTCTATTGTACATTTAACATGACTTATTATTAAATGTTACTGATTGTAAATCATTTTAAAAGATGGTAATTTGGTAAATATTGCTTTAATGTTAAGAATCGGTGAACTCACAGAAGGGACAATTCCTTATTACTGATGAGATCAAAATCAGGAAGTCACCAATAAATTATATAGTGTAAAGATTAGCAATGAAAGGAATAATTTAGAACATTTGACAAGGAAAATTTTGGGGACTAGGGTCTCAAGAAGATGAAGAAGTGGACACAAAGTCCTACTGCTACCCAAGAAGCTATTTCCAATTGATTCTTGCTGAGAAAGAGAAAATCAGCTTTGTCTAATGGAATATCAAGCACACTGTAGGCCAGACTCCATGACCACAAGCAGCTGACCAACATGACAGATTCCATGTTTTTTGTTTGTTCATTTTTTTGTGTGCATTTGTTTTATTTTGTTTTGGTATTTTTAGTTTTATTGCTTTTTTTTGGTCTGTTTCTTTTCTTTTCTTTTTTAAGGGAAAATGACATGAAGTTGGGTAGGTAGGGCGGTGGAGAATATTGGCATTAGCAGAAGGGAAGCATATGATCAAAATACACTATATGAAAAATTTTAAAAATAATTTAAAATGGTATCATGGAGGAAAAGATAAAATATTAATAATCTGTTTCATGTGAGATTTCCTTTAATGTGTTTCAGTGGTACACATTTGTTTCCCATGATTCCGAACTGTCTTATGCTTTGTTCCCCAGCTCCAGTATAAAGAGCAAAACTATAAGGCCACTCCAGTAACCATGACTCCAGAAATAGAAAGGGTGAAGAGGAACCAGGAGCAGCTGAGTGCGGCAAGTCATTCTGTTTTCTTGTATATTTTATCTAACATGATGTAGTTTTCTTTTTAAAAACACACTCTGTGCCTTTGGGCAAGCTTTCACACGTTAACACATTAAAGGGCATGAGGTATGACTCTTATGTGAGTCAGGAAGTTGGCATCATGCTTACTTACTCAAGAGGTCTTCATGAAGGACCCAGGCTTTGTCCTGGTCACTGGGTCACAAGGATCCACAAGAACCTTTTAGCTTACTACTAAATCTCTAAAGCTACACCTCAGTAAGAAGCTGGGAAGTAGAGAGGCTTATGTATTGGAGGGGAAAACAGTATTAGAGATAAAGCAAGAGAAGATTGGCTTGATGGGCACTACATTGTTACTGCCAAGGCAAGGCACCTTATAAATGAAATGAAAGACATTAGCCAACCATTTAATAATCCGTTTTAATAAAGCAGTCCTACTTAACAATTGAGAGGGACCTCTGCTCTGTGCTAGCCCCTCTTTTAATATTATATGTGAACATCTGAGCTCAGCATTATTCATTTCTTTGACTGGTGGATGTGGAAAACTGAATTTTGAGGAGTCAGAGACCATGCCAAGGATCCATGGCAAGTAAGGACAGAGCTGGGACTTGAACTCAGGTCTCCTGAAATTTAGAATTCTCTTTATAGTAACCACAAGTAGTTACCTTTTACCTTTTATCAACCCTTTTTGAGAACTTTCCTCAATAGCGAAAATAACCTCTTTCTTGCAAAACTGACATTTTGAAAGACTTGAAAAACGTAAGAGTAAGTTCTCTCAGGTGGAGGAGGAAAATCAAGGTCAATATAGTTTATCTTTAATACCTATGAAGGTGGAGGAAGAAGTCAGGGACTTTTAATGGTGGAAACTCGGGGGCCACAAGCAGACTGAAGCGCTTTCCCAGCCTGCCCCGGGGCCTTCATTCTGGTTTATTGTCATGGCATCTTTCTTTTTCTTTTTTTTTAATTTAATTTAATTTAATTTTACAATATAATTTAGTTCTACATATCAGCCACAGATTCCCTTGTTCTCCCCCATCCCGCCGCCCTTCCCTTCCCCCCAGCCCACCCCCCATTCCCACCTCCTCCAGAGCAAAGCCTCCCCTGAGGATTGAGATCAACCTGGTAGACTTAGTCCAAGCAGGTCCTGTCCCCTCCTCCCAGGCTGAGCCAAGTATCCCTGCATAAGCCCCAGGTTTCAAACAGCTAACTCATGCACTGAGCACAGGACCTGGTACCACTGCCTGGATGCCTCCCAAACAGATCAAGCCAGTCAACTGTCTCACCTATTCAGAGGGCCTGATCCAGTTGGGGGCCCCTCAGCCACTGGTTCATAATTCATGTGTTTCCATTCATTTGGCTATTTGTCCCTGTGCTTTATCCAACCTTGGTCTCAACAATTCTCGCTCATATAAACCCTCCTCTTTCTTGCTAATTGAACTCCCGAAGCTCCACCCGGGGCCTAGCCGTGGATCCCTGCATCCAGTTCCCTCAGTCATTGGATGGGGTTTCTAAGGGTGTTCCCTATTTCCATTTCTGTTCTTTGTAGTCTGTAGTTAGCTTTGACATGAGATAGGCTGCTTATTGAAGATCCCCTTTTAGGCAGCAGAATCAACACTTCATCAGTTGAGTTCAGTCAACGGGAAGCCACTGTGGTAAAATCAAGAGTGGATTTGAGCCCCAGATCCTGTGCTCACATCGTGGAGCCCTTTATACTGCCTATTAAAAGTCTTATCTATCCTCTATAGGTCAAATACAAAGAAGAGCTAAAACAGGCAACTTCCATTCCAGATCTACCAGAGTTGAAGAGAGTGAAAGAAAACCAGAAGAATATCAGCAATGTGTGAACATCTCAGTATTTATCATTTGTATTTAATGATATCAAATGTGTCAATATGCAGATGAAGGAATCATATTACAGCAGAGGTTCTCAACCTGTGGGTTGTGATCCCCACAGGGGTCACCTATCAGATATTCACATTATGATTCATAACAATAGCAAAACTATAGCTATGAAGTACCAACGAAATAATTTTATGTTTGGGGGTCACTATGGCATAAGAAACTGTATTAAAGGGTAACAGCATTAGAAAGGTTGAGAACCACTGTATTAGAGAGATTTCCTATCTGAGTTGATAGTCTCCCTTGACTAGCAGCTTCTTCAGAGGGCAGGGTCAGGGTGGTGGGTGCCGCGCAGTTTGCAGTGCTGGATTATGATGACTGTCCTGTAATTTGTGGCATAGTCTCCTCAACTTACTTTCATGCCGGTGATTGCTCTGGTTCCCATCCAAAGGCTGGGGTAGTTTCTGGCATCTTGGTCCTGCAGTCTACTTTGCTCTGTTTCCTACCTGCCTGAGTTCTTGTTTGTCAGGCCCCTCCTGACCTTTTTTTTTTTCACTCATGTTGATTATTACTGTGTTTCTGGGGGAAAACGGTGAAGTATGTGTGGTTGACTGGATATATTGTGTGAAATGGACCAGTTAATAGGCACTTGACCCAAGGCAGTGTTTTCACTCAGACTGGTGGACTACTCTAGATCCCTCTGTTTACATAACCCACCCACAGTTCACTGAGAGCATCCTTTTTAGGAAGTCATTAACATACAGAGTGGGCGCCTTGGAAGAGGAAGTTCAGAAATCTATTAATCTTCAAAGAAATCTTTTATGCCTCAAACTCATAAAGCCATTTGACCAATTTATGAGTCAAAGGTAGATTGTCATTTGATTCTTTTCCTAAGAGCTATCTTTTGGAGGAGTAGGTTCATTTCTTCCCACTCATACTTGATATGACTGTATTATTCTAAAGAAGGCATGTGGTTAGTAAAAAGGAGGAATGGAATAGAGGGAAGCATGATGTCTTTACATAGTTTGCCATGGTCACCTGGAAAATACATCCTTTCAAGGCTCTGTTGTAGTTAATTTCTGAGAAAACACAGCTATGCAATACCATTCTATTCAAACAAGACTTGTAATATCCACAAAGCATTTCTTCTCATACCCATCTGTGATTAAAGGCTCACTTCAGGCTTACTGGTGATATATTTGAGCCTATCCACAGTGATTGAGAAGAGGTACACTGCTATGCCAAAATGAAATAGATGCTTGAAGATGAAAGCATTTTAAGTCCCCTCCTCCCTCGCCTCCCTTTCGCCTTTGTTTTAATGAGTTCCAGTCCTTGGATAGCCCTTTAAAATTAAATATGACGTGATTCTTTTTTGGTTGAACTGATTCACAATCTTCTATTTTCCTTCTATGAAATGGTAGGTTTATTATAAAGGTCAACTGGGAAGGGCTACAGCTCTCAGCGTCACTCCTGAAATGGAAAGAGTGAAGAGGAATCAAGAAAATATTAGCTCGGCAAGTGGTTTTAATTCATTTTGAACCATCACAAAGGATGTATCCTTTACAATGTACTTGTATTGTTTATTGTCTTATGAATAAAATATATTTCCAATAAACACATATACTACTGCAGATGAATTCCAAAAGCTCTCACTATATACATCTACAGTATCGTGCAGTCCCTCATTAATATTCCCAGATGTGACTGATCATTACATCTATAGTTTATTTAAGCTATAACTCATGTTATTATAGCCAGTATCTTTGAAATCAACCAAGTCTTTGATGTATAAGTTAAAAATAATTGTCATTTTACTTATGTATTTCACTGAACATGAGTTATTAAATGCTTTCTATAAAAACAAATTTCAAAATAAGTAATTCAAAATAAGAATTCAGAAGATAACAAGTTTAGTGCATTTTTTATATCAGTCACTCAGGAAAATGGTCCATGGTAAGTATGCATCACTTTAGTAAATTCCAGGGCTCCAGGGCTCCATGGCAGGAATCCATGAAATACCCACAGATATGAGTATCAAGCCCTGTTCACAGCACACCTGGTGGTTCTCCAAGTCTGGGGGGTCAACATATGGGATTCATAATTGACAATTCTCTCATAGCATTTCTGCCTAGAGAGATTGGGCATATTCAGCATCAATAGTCTTTAAGCTGTAGCTGCTCAGAAGAGAACACAGATCTGTTCCTGGTTGTTCCTCATTCTCTAGGGAGGGAAAACATCAAGGAAACCAGAAGAGGTCTCATGTGCTTCCCTCAGCACTCTGAGCAAAGAAAATTGCTTAGCAACAGAAACCACGATCAGTCTCTATTTCATGTTTTATTTGCCCTGTTTAAATGTGCTAAGTGGTTCCACTGGTGGTTATTACTGACGGTTAGGCACCTATTTGTTTCTTGCTGACAGACTTAAGTCTTTCATACAATACTTTTAAGGGAAATCATCAAGAGTGTAATTTTAAGTGACTATTCTGGAACAGAATGTAATCCACTGAAAGAAAAGATATCTGGGAAGTAATTTTGAGTAGGTCACCCATTTGAAAAGCTTTAAAATGTTATGCAGTTTTTAGATTATAGTTTTCCAGTTATATGGATGTCTGCTGTTTCATTTGCAGGTGAAATACACACAAGACCACAAACAAATGAAAGGTAGACCATGTATGATCTTAGATACACCTGCTTTGAGACATGTTAAAGAAGCACAAAACCATGTTTCCATGGTAGGAGGCAACAGATCATTGTCTTCATGACTAAAACATACTAAGGAATGGCAAGACCTGTGTTTGAGTGGCATTAGTTCGCATTAATCTGGACAACTAACAAAGCATGAGAATGTGAATGAGCCCTTGGGGCAAGGCATTATAATTACACTGAAATGTAATGAAAATATTTATTCTAATAAAATAATTTTCCCACAATGATTTTTGGTGTGTTTTTATTTCTAACTTGATTACTATAAATACATTTGTGAATGACATCTGCCTAGACTTTGTTTTTTACTTAATTTTAAGACATATTTTGGCATATTTGCATATTATAAAGAATATTTTTGAGTATTTCAAAAGCAATTTTATGTCATTTTTTTAACCATGAAGTTTACCCATTTAAAGTGTTTAGTTTAAGCTAGTGTAATTTCAGAATGTTACAATTATTGCTCTTTTTGAATTTCAGAACATGAAAAGAATGTATGTTTTATAATATGCACAATTTTCATAATTATATATGAAAATTTTATATAATATATAACACTATTAATCTAATTTTAAATAGTATTGTCATCTTGAAGAATTATGCTCAAATAACTTATCATTATTGCATATTGCAGGTGAAAGGAAATCAATTTGTCGTCAAATTGTGTGTTTTAGGAAGCAACTAATGTTTTAGAGCACTTGTCTTTTATACCTTACTAATATATAGGTTTACATATCATTTAAAGGAGATGCTATTTTTAGTGTCTAGAAATATGAAGTTATTGGCGCTTCATTTCTGACATTGTTTTTGGAAGATCTGGGCAAAACATATCATACTATGTTATATTTATTACATGTAGTAACGCAGATGCACTTTATGTGATCTCTCATTCTGTAAAAGTTGTGTGAGACAGTCAGGAATTTCAGTTTGAATTAATAATCCTTTTTCTTTTTCAGGTCAAGTATCATGAAGATTTTGAGAAGACAAAGGGGAGAGGCTTCACTCCTGTTGTGGACGACCCTGTGATGGAGAGGGCGAGGAAGAACACCCAGGTTGTGAGCGATGCTGCCTATAAAGGTGTTCAGCCTCATGTTGTGGAGATGGATCGGAGACCTGGGATCATCGTTGGTAAGCGTGTAGTCTTCTCATGAGTATAAATGGTCAAAAGACTGTGCCTGGTCTAGAACTAGCTTCTGTATTCAACTTACCTCACAGGTTTTATATAAATTCCAACTAGATCACAGGTAGAACGCTTTGGTACCATGCTGATCCAGGGAATTCAGAAAATAGCATTGCCAGTACTTTTTATTCTTCAAAGTTCTGTTTAATATCACCTTGTTAAACAGCATCATCCCAGAGAGGAGTGATTATAATGGTTGAACATTCTGCTTCCTTTAGCTTGTGTCCTAGTTTGGTGAAAGTGTTCCACTCTAGACATCATGTACATGGGAGACAGAATAGTCATTTCTCCTTTATGCTCTTTTGTCATTAAACAGAGAATCTGATGGTATTCTGGAACGTGAATCATTTGTATTTTTGAATAGTGCTTCTGAACTAGGATATATGAGGGCCACCAGAAAGCCCAATTATTTAGAGAGGGGACCTCTCTTTATTGTGTCTTTTTCTTACATTCAGTTCAGGGAAATCCTAGGGAATGTGGCTTGAGATAGCAGCAGAAATCAGACTGGAGTATAAGCAGGCTGGAAAGGAAAATTATCATGTCTCAGTATAGATCAAAACTCTGAGTCTTGTTTCCTGTGATGCACTTAGCCTCTGAATTTTTATGTTTGCTCTGTTGCTCACTGTGTAGTTACTTTTACCATTGCTGTGATCACACACACACACACACACACACACACACACACACACACACAACTTAAGGAAGGATTTATTTTGGCTCACAGTTCGAGGGCACAGTCTATCCTCGAAGTTATGGTGGGAGCAGCTTGTGGCAGCCAGTCACATTGCATCTGTGGCTACGAAGCTGTGAGTGGTGAATAGTTGTGCTCAGCTCCCTTTCTCCCTTTCATGCACTCCAGGGCCACAACTCATAGAATGGTGCCACCTGAATTTACGATACGTCTTCCTACCTTAATTAATGTAATCAAGCTAATTCCTCACAAGTGTGCCCGGAGATTATCTCCACGGAGGCTTTAGATTCTGTCAAATGGACAATCCAAGCCCTCACAGTCAGAGAGGTTGTGGCAGCCATCGTATATACTCCTCAGTAAGCTCACTGTTAGATTACTTTCCTCTTCAAGGGGAAGAGCTTCTGCTTGAGAGTCATAGCAGTGAAAGGGCATGGAGAGGTGGGTTGGGTGGAGAAGCGTGCATTTGACAGAGTAACATTTTAGTCTAAAGCCAGAGTGCTGACGTGAGAGACCTGAGTGCCTTGGATCATTACCAAAGGGAAACAGAGTATTTTCTACAGAAGCACTCAAGACCTATTTGTAGACTATTGATAGCTTTACTCATTTTCCCAGGTTGATTACTTAGAGGGGTCATAGTAAGATGGATGGACAAATTGTGATGTTTTCAGTAAAAGTAATGCAGAAATAGAGAGTTTCATTGATTTGTGCTAATAACTCCTAAGACAGAGTGGTGTGATTCATCTCACCCTGGGGTCTTACAAAGACCAGGGACTAGGAATGACAGTGAAATCATTGCTAAAAACGATGAAATTGTCTAGACAGGGCTCTTAAGAGTTAGTATTTATAGTATTTTCAATAGCAGTTATCACTATTTTTTAATATAGATTTATAACTAAAAATGATTTATTCAGTAGGCAACCTAGGAGTCAGTTTCTTTCTTCCATGAAGTGTCCATGAAGGCTTGCTTATGAAATCATAACATGAAATACATTTAACCAACAGTAAACTTCCCAGTGAGCCAGGGTCTACATCATGCATACAAGTTCATAGATTTGCTAGTCAATGTGGACCAAGACAGTTGGTGCTGGTCCTATTTTTATTGTGGGGCTCTGCTGCTTACAAGTTGGATGAACTTGGCAGAGCTACTCAATCCATCTGAGCCTCAGGTTCCTTACCTATGAAATGATAATAGCAGAAGTTTAGTAGAGATGATGCTTAAATGAGTTAGGTCATAGCAGAGAACATATATGCTTGGCATATACTCCACAGTGTATAAGTGATAAAGTCTTTGCTTTTAGTTCACTGATCATGTTATTTTAATCTCACCTCATTTCTCCCATAACTGGGTACTTATTTCCCAGTAGTTTATCACTGCATAGCTCTCTTAGGTCCAGCCATGGTGACAACAGATACATTCAGAAATTATTAAATTTGAAGTTTGCCTGCAGCTACAGTAAAAGAAAGGCACATTGCCCTCCCTCCATGTTTGTTAGTCAGGTATCTGTCATGGTGACAAAATACTTGAGAAATCAACTTAAAAGAGGAATGTGTTGATTTGGCTGACAGCTTGAGGTTTTGGCCCATTGACGCTTGTCTCTATTGCTTTGGATCTGTGGCAGTGCAGTGCAGTGCAGGGCAGTGCAGTGCAGTGCAGGGCAGTGCAGTACAGTGCAGGGCAGTGCAGGGTAGTGCAGGGCAGGGCAGGGCAGTGCAGGGCAGGGTAGTGCAGGGCAGGGCAGGGAAGCAATGGAGACTTGGGTGGGCTTTCCCAAGATCTTCTTAAAGGGAACTCCCCAGTTTCCTAACTTTCTCTCACCAGTGATCACCTCTTAAAGTTTCTACAACTTTGAATAATGCCACAGACTAGTGAAGGGGACACTTCAGAAATAAACTATGGCCATAGTGTGCTAAGTGGCTACAGAAGTAAACTAATTGATGGTCCACTGAGGGCAGAAACCACGTTTACTCATGCCTCTGCGCACCATCTCTCATGGTTCCTTGTTGGAATCCTTTCTACAGCATTGGTGATGAATGCATCCTATATGGCTTTATTTGTTCCCATAGATTCCAGTCTTGGAATGAAAACTGAACCTGCTACTGTCTACATTTCCAGAGTTCCTTCCCATTACAGGGAGAGAAGAGTTTTAAACAAAACCATTTCTGTCATTTCCCACGAATACGCTGATGTCCTTAGGTGGGAATTTCAAGCAGATGTTGACTGTTCTTGGATGGAGCACAGAAGCGCTGGGCTTTGGGGATGCTGTAGGACTGAATATGGCAGCCATCTGTGAACCTGCCTTGGTCCGAGTCATAGGTGCTTCATGGAGGCTCCCGCGCTGGGCAGCAAAGAAACTAGGCTGATCAAATTTGATGACAAACTTTCTTTGGCAGCCACATATGAAAGTGGGGACCCCTCCCCCCATTCTCTGGGCTCTGAAGTGCACTGGGCCACTTGTAACATGCTGCCTTTGCTTGACTGATTTCCATGCTGGCTTTTCAAAGTTCCCTCTTGATCTCTTGGTTTCTTCCTTTTGGTGAAAGACCTCAAAGTGTGGCGCACAGATCCTGGCTCCATCTTCGACATTGACCCCCTGGAGGACAATATTCAGTCTAGAAGTCTCCATATGCTCTCTGGTATTGTTTGAGTTCCTGTCTGTCTCCCTGGGTTTGGTAATGAAAGTTAATGATGATGAATTACAGAATTTCACTGTGGCACCCATGAAGTGGAAATTGAAAGCTGAGAATTCAGAAAACCCAAGAAATGTGCTATGTCACTTTAAAACGACATTAGTTATTTATGAAAGCAAAACTTACAAAGGAACTTGGAAATAAATCCTATATTAGTTTGTCCTAGATGCATTTAAAATGGTGTCTAGAGCATACTTATATTTGCCTTTCATTGGTAAATATGATTCTATAGGCTTTCTGCGACAGGAGATCTAGTTATTTGGATTGTAAAGAGCTCCTGAGACAGAAAAAAGGAGATTTGTTTCATGAAATACAGTATTATAGTATTTTAGAGTCAGGTTTCCAAAATTATACATAGAACAACAGCAAGGCTTATCTACAGCATCATGCATGCTTTCCAATTAAACCTTCAGATATTTAGCATTTATCTCTGAATTTTTATACAATATAAAATGGGTAGTTCCCATGGAGGCTTGTTTGACTCCTAGCTTGGCTGACGTGTCTGTCATGAAAAGGGGAAAATGAATGATTTGGTATAGGTACAGCATGACTAAACATTTAGACTTTTAAGCCATGTTTAGCAAATACAGTCTGAAAATTACTGTCTAATTTGATCATCTCAAAAGAAGCAAATTACAAGTATCAGATACCCAGGGCTACTTGAAAGCAAGTATTTAAAGCAGATGTTCACTTTTAAAGATTTCTTTTTTCTTTTCTGTTTGCTATTGTCTATCTCCTATCCCTTATGTCTCTGAAAACAAACAAACAATTGGACCCAAGAGTTTAAATGAGAAGCAATGTCTTTTAGGTCCTGTATGGATGTGATGCTGTTCCTGCTAAGTCTGGGGTTGGTTGACTAGACCTTTAGAATAGCAGAGATTAGGGATGATTATTTAATCAAGGATTGTTTTTGCTTTCTTGTGAAGCTTTGTCTGTTGTTTAAGCCACTCATTCATGCATCTGAATATTCTCCCTCTGATGTAGAAAAGGCAAGTCAGTACCAAAGACACCTGTCTCGCTCTCACTCCAGCAGCACTTTTGGTACAGGTCTGGGAGATGACAAGTCAGAAATCTCCGAGCTCTACCCTAGCTTTTCATGCTGCAGTGAGGTAACAAGACCATCGGATGAAGGAGGTATTAAATCACAGCCATTTAAAATGAACTCACCTCTCAGATGTGCACCAGAGTGTGTTTTACTGACTTTCACCTTTGCTTGGGTGTATTTGAAATTTTAATTCTAAGTTTGGAAAGTTAAGAATCTTTGACTTAAAACTACTAACTTGTAGTTTTGCATGTTTCACTGTTGTCCATGGAGTAGATCCGTAACACCAAAAGGGTCCCGGGAGATTTGCTGCAGCAGTGCATGATGGGAGTGTATGCCATGGGTATACACAGCCTTAGTAGACAGCAGAGTTCTGTGTAGTTTCTGTATGACTTCCATTAGGGGGAGAAAATCAATCTTAGAGTAACACTTGAGTGGATAAGAGATTGCTATAAATTGGTGTGGGTTTAAATATATATATATATATATATATATATATATATATATATATATATATATATCAGTTAGAGCTTGTCAAAAAATGACATGTCATACTTGGGATGTAAGATTTCTTTTTTTTAAGTAGAAAATATTGTTGGTATTAATAATCATCACTTTATTTTGAACTCCACTCCTTTTCCTGTGCTTTTTCTTTTCTGCATCCAAGCTAATGGATTGCTTCTGGAACTTTCAGTGAATTCCATTAGGATGTTACATGGCAGCTGCTGCCAATAAAGCCGTTACTAGTGTCAAGACTCAGTGCATAGGGAAGACAAGGAGACAACTCAAATATTATGAGTTCCTTTTCAAAGGTCAGACTGCTGAAGTTGCTAGATAGGAGTTTGAAGTTAAGTAGTTTAAAACATTGGAAATAAGTACCATTTCTGAGGACAGCTCTTGTTATCAAGCCATTGTCTGTATTCATCCCAGTAACACACTAATGAACATAAAATCAGTCATACTCTTCATACTTGAACTGTAAACTCAGTCTGGCTTGAGATTGCTAAAGGATTTTTTGGGGATGGAGGATTTCCTTTTATACATCTTTTTTTCCAAGACAGAATCTTTCTACATACAAGCCCAGACAAGCCTCAACCCTGTTGTCCTCCTGTCTCAGCCTCTTGAGTGCTTAGATTATAGGTGCCTGTGAGATCATGCTCATCTCCTTTTTAACATTTAACACCACCCAGAGTGTTTGCTTCAGGGGTGACTCTTGTATCTCGTGTGCACAACAACACAGCAATCACTCATTCACTCATCTAAGCGTCAGACATACATGTGCACCAGCCGAGAACTTGGATCTGTAATACATCCCATAGTGAAGAAAAGAGACAGGGATCTGCTGTGGGGGACATAGCCTCTGGTGGGGGACCTTGATATTAAACAAGCACAAAATGATACTATACAATTATAAATAGTGCCAGTGATATGTGCAGGTTGGGTAGGGCCTAAAGGGTAGTTGACAGGCAGTTCCATTTAGTCTTGATGTTAGAGAAACCTTCCTCATGGAAGAAAAGTGGTTCTGACTGAGCAGAGTGCAGCGAGACTATGACATTGACTCATTCTAATGGAAGTGTCAGCTAGACCATTAAAATTCAGAGACTGCACTGGGGGGTGTATTTTGAAGCCCTCTTCCAAGTCTATAATCTTGGATGATTCCACATAGACAGAGAAAATTCAGAACTTCCCACTCTAGAGGTTTCAGCTCCCATCTGCAGTAGTGAGAGATGCCCAGGTTAGCCTGGGTCATTATTTTTTCTCTCCCAAGGCTGTAAAACCCACTGCTGTCAGCTGTGTGTTATCTCCCCTTGCCTTTTCAAATCACTGTTGTGTTTTCACTCAAATTATTTCAAAAAGGGAATCTATTCCTGTTTGAAGTTGAACCGAAAGAGAAGATGTCTCTGTTGAGAAAAAGTACAAACAAATATTCTTTTGCTTCTATTAGATGGTGAAGAATAGAGTTAAAAATAACTTGTAACCTTTCTGCCTCAGCCTCCTGTTTACTGAGTTTATAGGCATGTGCTATCATGCTCATTTAGGAAGAAGTTTAGAAATATCTGTTGATGGTCTGGAGAGAGAGTTCTGTGGATAAACCACTTACCATGCAAGTATGATGAGTAGAGTTTGGATCCCAGAAACCAATGCTCCATAGGTATGGTGGCCCTTTTATAATTTCAGCCTGAGAAGGCAGAGACAGGGAATCTTTAGAGCTGGCTGGCTAGCTAGTGTCTATAGGTAAGTTCTGGGTTCAGGTGAAGAGCGATTGAGGATGAATGAGTACAGATGTTAACTTTGTTTTTACACACACACATTCACCCAAACACATGAGGATATGCATACACACATGCACATATACCATACACACATAAACAGGTACAAACTGTTCGTTTGCTTGCTTATGTGTTTCTCTAGTTAGTGAGTGAGTGGTGTTGGGATGGAACCTTTGGTTTCCTGCCTGCTAGGCAAGCACTCTACCATATACCCAGTCCGGAAATGTTATTTAAAAGGAAGGTGCTCTCTATTCTGAGCAAGGTAGCAGAAGCTATATTTCTGACAAGCAGTGATAGCTCCCTGGGTTGAGGAAGACCTTGTGATGTCAAATTGACTCTTTTGAGGTATTTGTAAGTTTCTGCCATTTGTAGGCACCTCTTACAAGGCTACTATACTCTTTCTTTAGGGACACTTCCTAGTTTTTCAGGTAGGCATTGAGATATGAAGTAGAAGTGAAAATGTACAAGTAAGTTTGATGATATCAACTCAGGTGATTCAACACCAGAAAGTATCTATGCTCCTTGGAGGAGTCTTTAAGGCACATGAGTCTATATCCTTAATTTCCTTCATTTTAGGAGCAGCAAAGCATAGTCTATGAGATCTACCTTGTCTGTGTTCAAGTGATTAGTGACATACACACCTCATGCATTCAAAACTATCCCCCAACTACCAAACTACTGTTATGGGTCTGAGACTGTTCAGAGAATTGCTCGTCTGACCATGAGTAAATTTTAATAAATAAAAGATTTATTAAATATTGTCTAGGAACATGGCCACTGGCCAGTTCCGCAGTGGGGACTCATGCTTCAGATTATGGCCCTGGATTACATTAGTCAGGGACTTCTAAAGGCAAAACTCACCAGGCTATGTGCTTCCTGCCTTCATGCAATCAGAGGCAAGCATACATCCTGACGTACATCTGCTTATGTACTTCCTGCCTACATGTGATCAAGCACATATACTGTGTAATTGGGGCAACCAAGCTTGTTTACAGAAGTGAAAACACATGGCTTGTTATTTTACATGAACAGCCCCCAGTATTCCAGGAAGTTATCTGTCCTTGGGCAAGTGGGACTTTTAGTTAGAGGCATTTTTGTTTTATAGGTCTCTTAGGCACAGTAATCTAAACTTAAAGCATAGTGTTAGCCATCACACTGCCCCATCTCCTTGCAGATCTTTGCTTCCTTGGGCTTACAACTTGCTCAGTGATGACTACAACTCCCCAGGTTCTGGAGTCAACCTCTTTGGACTCATTCTGCACTTTTGCCCTTTATTCATTCTCCATGATGAATTCATTAGAAAGCCTCCTCATCTCTACCACGGCAAAGCCTCTCCTGTCATTGCTGCGTGTGGTTACTCTGAGAAAATCCCTGAGCAAATAGCTGACAGAAGTGATAGAAGGGAGGCGGGGTTGATTTTGGCCCAGGGTTTAAGAGGGTATACAGTCCACCATGGCAGAAAAAGCAGGATGGTATTCGTGGTAGCCGAAGTTTGTGGTGAGGACTCCTCACATCTTGGTTAACCCAGGACCACAAGCAGGGTTAAGCTCTAACCCTCAAAAGCTGTTCCCTCCAGTGACCCACTTTCTCCAGGGAGGCCCTGCTTCCTAAAGGGTCCATACCCTCCTAAAAGAGCCCAGAGAATAATGGCCACAGGGATGGGGAGATTTCTCAGTGGGTAAAGTTCTTGCTACCAAGCAGGAAGCCTGAGGATCTGAGCTCAGATCCCCAGTCCACATGTAAAAATCCAGGTATGATGATACATACCTGTGATCTCAGTGGTGGGAAGCAGATCCTGGAGGATCCAGTGGGCTCATTAGGCAAACCAGTCTAGACAATTGATAAGCTCCTCAATAAATAAAGTAGAAAGTGACCTAAGAAGATACCTGGCAGCCGGGCGGCGGTGGCACACGCCTTTAATCCCAGCACTCAGGAGGAAGAGCCAGGTGGATCTCTGTGAGTTTGAGGCCAGCCTGGTCTACAGAGCGAGATCCAGGACAGGCACCAAAACTACAGGCAGAAACCCTGCCTTGACAAACCAAAAAAAAAAAAAAAAAAGACACCTGGCATGGACCTCTGACCTCCATGAATTCTCATACACACAAATATCTTTGTGAAATAAACTTCTCTCTTGTAGGAGGCCTGGAAGGAAACTTTCACACTTTTGTTTCAGTGTTTTGATGTTTCAATGACATTGAAGCAAATCTGAAAACAACCTGAAGTAGAAACATTCCCAGAGGGTTTTTTTTTTTTTTCTCTTTCCTTTTTCCTGGTGAGGCAGGGAAGAGATAGTATTCATGACTTCTTGGAGGCTTTGAAATGTAGGCTCCCCTTTGAAATGCGTGCTGTACTGGGCTCTGTCGAGGAGGAGCTGATTGATTGCTAGACAGAGTTTTATGGTGATGACAACTCTTTGGTGGAAATAATTAGTGTCTTTAGCAGCCACAGTCAATCAGTCAATCATGTGCCTTTGTTTAAGCTCTGTCCCCAGAAACTGAAATGCATTTTGTAACACTTGCTAGAGGACGGAGAAAATGGAAAATGTTCTTAACGTATTTCAAATGTTCTTTTTCCTTCCAGATTTTCTCATTTGGGTGTGTAGGATCTTTATATGATTAAAATGTGTTATATCCTAGAAAATGGTCATTTTATCGGACTCAGGCATCTCCTGCTGTAGAGGGGCGTGTGTGGGAAAGCCATACTGTATATCAGGACTCCGGGCCTTGGGTCCTGACACTTACTCACTCCGATTTCCTGTGCATGGCAGACAGCAGGGTAGGCACAGGAGTGTTCTGAGGTATTTTATGCTTCTTTAGCTAAGT